TGAAACTGCATGGCACATCTGAGTGTGTTTTGTTTTCTAACACCTCTCTGCCTGCCTGCAGTGTTTATCCTTCTGCTCTCTCAAATTAACACTGCTGGAAGTAGCCACTGGGAAAAGTGAGGATCTCTCAGTGCTTTATGAAACAGTGGTTACCTGGTGGTCAAAAGGCTGTTTGAAATCAACAGGCAGCATCTGCATGGAGATTCCTGTGTCCTTTAGAAATACAACAGAGTATTTTTCCTCCCAAAAAGGGGGCGGGGGGGGGGGGGGGGCTGTATTAATATTAAACTTCAATCCACAGTGAAAATTATAAAAAAATTAATGCAAGAGAATACTGTTACGCTGATATGCGTTAAGTTTATTCAAAGCACTAAGTCGTTTAGCTCGCGAAACCGAAGGAGCCGGGCAAACAGCGTGTAACTGACAGCGCATCTTCAGGCACCACCTGAAATGCAGACAGGCAGTAGTGCCACCTGGCGTTACTATTCCAGTTTGAATGCCTAGAAAACCGCACGGAGAAACCATTTCCTGTTCCTTTCACCAAAAATCATGGTTTGCTAGCAGGATTTTGTAATAATTACTGAGGACGGAAACCGAGGGACTATGCAGACAAGGCACCCAGGCGCAGAACCTCACACTAGCGTTTGTTCTGGCTACAGCCCACCAGGGTCAGTTCTCCCCAGATCCTCGCAGGGTGGTAGCAGAGCTGAGGCCTCTCTTCTCTCACCTCCAGGTGCTACTCCCATTAGATTCCTTTTAACAGCGCATTTTGCAAGAGCTCACTGAAGAATCAAAAACAACCCAAAAACATTCCCAGCACACCACACCGCACTTAAGCAAACACCAGAGCACTTTACGAAAGGGCAGGCTTACGGATTCCTGGAGCTACGAAGCCAACCTTCTCTGGAAGAGCGAGCGCAGTTCCATGGGCAGGACTTGCAAAGAAACTACTCTGGGGTTCCTTTTTCTGCTCTCAGTTCTGTGCGCCCTGACGGCAGCAGTAAGAAGAGGGATGTAAGCTGTTAGCCTTGCCAGCAGGTTTGATGTATGCAGCCCAGAGTACGGTTTCGTTGTCATTGTGAGATCCACCTCTGGGCATGTAAGGCACCTTACATTTCAAGAGGAAAATGTCTTCCCTGCTTCTGTCTGGTGAAGCGGTATGCTGCTGCTTCAACATTTACTCTTCCAGTGCAAAAGTTAACAAAGTGATGATTTCCACCAGCTTGTTTCCCCCTCTCCTAAACGCAGGCATCAGCCTTCATCAGCCTAATCCAGAGCCTTAAAACCTGTTCCACACCACGCTGCCAAAAGGCAGGGCGTCAAGAAAGATTTGATGATGCACTGGTAAGCGCCTGGAAGTTTTCACCCTGCACTAAAAGGAACCAAGGCAGCAGTAGTGAAGCAGAACACCGTTCAACACCTCTACAGTCTCACAGACCTGAAGCCTAGCTCCCACTCCCGCTCAACATAAACCACGTGTTAGGCTTAGAGGCAAGATTTACAGGATCCCACAGGGCATGTAGTGTAACTAGACTAATGAAGAACATCAACCAAGGTGAAAGGAGTCCTGCTTTCCTGTTTCAAAACAGAACCAAACCAAGTTATTGTGCTGTATGAACCTTCACTGTTTGATTGTGCAGCCAAGGGATGAGATCAACCCTGATTCCATTTTCATTTTTCAGCTTTGAAAGCACACGTGAAGTCACTTACCTTGTAAATTCAGCTAATGCTACTGTTTTTAACGCTACTATTATTTAGATCAACCACTTCTCTAGCAAATTAGAGGATATGGAAAAACTCCTACACACCTTCTCCTCTACCTCTTTACATACTCAAAAAGTTAGAGCCAACACCATAGAAGCTGGCAGAGTACTTTTAAGAAGCATTCCCTTTCCATTGGCCTCCAAACTTCACTCTCAAGGCATAGATTTAAATGCATGGAAAAACTTAACAAGTATTTCATAAATTAAGGATACTATAATGCAAGCCTGAATTTATTAGAGGTTAATTTTCAAATAAAAACTGTCACCCAGCTACACTGGGAAACGCCAAAAGTGATGACGTTAAAAAGTTCAGTGGTTCAAAGTATTATCTGATATGGAAAAACAACTTGCCATTTCTCATTATGCTCCTAAACTTCAGATTTTTCAACTAGTTTCTAGGTGAGCGTACATTAGTGGCATTAAGGCCAAATGTGTCGTGCTTACAAGTGGCTTTGCAACTGTCTTACAAGTTATTTTCCCATATTTTCTCATATCCCAGAGGACTACTATTCTGAGTGAGAAAGAGGAGTCTGACAGTCTTTCACTGTATTCAGAAGCAAAACAAACTGCCTACATAGTAGGAACAAGTTTCCAGATACTAATGTTCCTGCTTAAACGTACCATGTATTACACACTGGTCTGCATTGTCTGCAAGGCATGACAAATTTTTAGAGAGTGAAACAAAGTTTGTTTTCCTTACACAACCACCACTGTTGCGGCAAACATTCCCCTGAGAACAAAACACTTGTCTCCTAATACCAGACACCTGAATGGCTCTAAGTTCTGTTTCATGGTCCTATGCAAATTCCACAATAAAGGCAACTATCAGATGTGTTCAATAAACATTCATGTCAGGAACTATTTTCAGCATTAATCTGTTAATCTATGAATATTAGTCCCTGTCCCCAACAATAAAAGGCTTTGTTAGACAAGACAGTTGTATGGAATTCACTTCCTTTTATTGCAGTGACATCCCCTGGTGCAAAGTATTAACTGCAATAATTACGTTAAAACATTAGAAAAGCATTTGTGTGTGACAGTTACAGTACAGTATCAAATCTTACATCTTCAAACCAAGTGGGCTATTACCCACTAACGCTCAAATCTTTAAATTATTTTCCATTATTTTTAAATATGTAATGTCAGAAAAAGCATATAAAAAGAATGTATGTAAAAGGAAACCTACATACAAATATAAGTGAACAAATAAATAATTGATTTTCTCCAGCTATTACTGTCTTTCTAAACCCATACAAAGAAACCTAATCTATAGAAAGTATGAATTGCCATGTGTAAGTGATTTCATTTTTCAAGTAATTAATAATGATTGGAACGTAACTAAATTTGGCGTCAAAATCAAAGCAGAAGTTGGAGTGACTGCCACTAACCGACAGCTGTTGCAATTACCATTAACCGTTGAAATTTTAGTGTAGCAAATGATCTTGAAACTCGACCTCGTGCCTAGCATTAGTGGACTTGTGAGAGTGCATGTGAAAAGCATTCTATGTTATTTCACAGACATTACCTTAACTATCCCCATATGCATATTTAGATATATTTTATATAATTTTATACACATATATGCATGTATAAACACACTTCATTTGGTTTGTGTTACAGATCACAAGCAATGGTTTCCTGAATGGGCAAAAAACCTTTGAAGTAAGTGTACCTGTGCACATTTTTAAACTTTTTTTTTTAAAGATAGCAGCACTAAGTCCATGCCTTACTGTCCATCTGTTCAAAAGAATGTAACCCACAAAACAAGAAGAAACATGGCAATGATTCCATATTCACAATGTGACATCCGTATCCCCTAAAAACCACTGTAAAACCTGTGAGAGATACACTGGTAAGTTTGATCCCAAACCCCTCATCTGGAAGGAAACGGCACTTTTACTGCACACTCTCTTGTCTTATAATGTTTATCGTAACAAGTCTGATTCATGCTGGCATCAGTTGTCTCACACTTAGCAGCAAAACATGCATGTTTGTTTTTCTAATTTATTTTAAAGTGAAATGATTCAATTAGTCTCAAATTCAATTGACAGAAAAAGCAAAAAAAAGATTTTTTTTGCTGTTTACCAAGAACCTGACAACAGTGTATACTGCATTGCGTAGAATATTTTTATCTTTAATCACAACTTGAAGCTCTGCCTTGCCACACCATGATTATGCTTCGTCCTTCAAAATGAACCGTTACATTTCAATTTTATCTTGCATTTAGCATAAAAATACCCCTTTTCTGTGCATCCTTAAATGAAAGTCACTCAACCACTGGTAAACTGAGCCAGTAGCATGTCCAATGCTAATATCAAAAGCCTGTGAAATGTTTTTAGGCAATCCTTTCTATTCAAAACATATCAGGAATTTAAAAAACAGTTCACATTACTAACCTTTATACAAAGGCTCAAGTGAAATTTCTTGTGTAGGTGTTTACATAGCCGGCTAAATTATGCAGTTTTCAAAATATACAATGAAAGGGCACACAAGATTGGCAGTTTCTTTATTGAACATAGAAAATGTATAAAGTAGGATGTATGGAGTAGATCTAAATTGCTAGACAATCAAACCTGAGTATTATTTAATAAGATGAAATGTATTTTCTGACAACTGAATGAATTGACCTAAAAACATCTCCCCTAGTAACTAGTGGTCCTTTTAACCATTTGTTGAAAAATGCAAGAGAACTGTAGCTTTTACATTTCATATTGGATAGCAAGATTCCACATAGTGTTTACTGTTTTCTGTTAGACAGCATCACATTGCTTGTATTATCCCCATTCAAGCCTTAAGCTGAGTTTTGTTTCAAAGTAAGCTGAAAGTGACACCAAAACATAATAGGCCAAGAACTAGGACAGGTCTTTTTCTTTTCTTCTAATTTGGAGTAAGATAAAAAGCCTCAGCCAGTAAGATGAATTCAGTTTCTTAAGAGAGGTACAGAGCGAAGACTGACCAGTATCCTTCACCAAGGTAGCTAATGTTAGCTGTGTATCTCAGACTAGTGCGAAAGTGGTACACGTTGTCAAATTTCAGAAAAGGATCCTCTCTGCTATAATTAAAGTGTTACAAACTTAGTAGCACAAAGTCTTGACAATAACATCAGGGATTCGATTTAGTTCAACTGACCTGCCCAAATTCCCACCTTTAAATCTAACAGATATAATAATAGAAACCCAAAAACTTTCTGACAATAGAAAACATACAGTACTAAGAACTAATAGCTCAATGGAAGACTGAAAAGCAGCATTCATTTTTACTGTAATATGGAAGAGACTAGAAACTAAAGGAAGTCCGATCTAAACTCTTAGTTGAAGGCAGATTTTGACATTCTATATAAATTTACAAAATAAGATGTATGGATGAGATTTGGTTAATTTCAGAAGGCACCTCAAGGCTAAAAGGCTTTTATAAATCTATAATCCTTTCATTGATCAAAAATAAAACATTTTATTGCTGCTATTCAAATAGCAAACAAAAAGCTTGTCTTGTTCTTCAGTCTAACAAGGAATCCTCCCCCCCATTAAGCAAGATTAAATTACAGAAAATATAGAATAAAACTGAAGATGTCACAACTTTAGAAATACAGTGACTTTCCTTGTGTGCTTTCAAGTCAGTGAAATAGTGAGAGTCACTTTCTGCCTTTGTGATGTTAACAAACCGTAGACCATGTCCGTCACTCTCCCCTGGGCACTGAAGTACCATTTCACCATAGCTGTCCCATGTGCAGTACTCTTAGGAATAGAAGGTAAGAACGCTCTGATGATTCCCACGAACGAGGAGAATTGGTGGCAGATCTTTAGAAAGAGCTTCTAACCAGGCCATGTACAGTGCACTAGAAACCGCACCTTTTCGTGCAACTGGCAAACTCCTACAATTCACAAGGGGAAAAAAGCATTCAACAATTAGAAAAACCTGGTGGACTACAGGTCATAACATACAAATATTTAAGTATGATTCTGCAAAGAGGTAAATGTTAAGTCAAATTTCCTAACCTTTTTAGTTTTGGGCTTTTTTCCTCAGAATTCAGTTAATAAGTTGAGCCTTCGTATCTTAAGCACCACAGGCCTTTACATCTATTTACCCCTGCTTTTGACCTCTTACCACCATTTTGTATTCAGGGAGCTTCATGCAGAATTCTCCTTGGTTGAAGCGTTTCTTGAGACTCTTCAAGATTTTAAAATACAGCTTTTTTTTTTTACGATGCCAGGTTGGTGCAGTCTAATATTCATTCTCACAATCCTTCCAAAACATGCCATGCTTCTCTTTTGGAAAAACTACTATAAGTCTACTTGCCCTACTCAGACTTCACTTGGAGTACTACTTTAGGGAGCTCTGAAGCAGTGTCCTAAAGAAAAAACACAGCTAAAACCTACAATCTGCATTCTGCTTGTTTACACCAAAAGTAAACCAAGAAAATCCATCAGCAAGATGATGATCTAACTTTATCTAGAGACATTTCCTAGAAACTGAATTGAAAGGAAGGACCTGAAAGAGAGGGGGAATAGTTGGCATTCAGGGGCATTCACGGGAGTGGAAGGAATGCGAGAATCCTGAGCTGCATGATAAATGCGGAGGTAATCATCTTAAGCAGCGTATCAGAAGCACAAAACTACACAGACCATTTTTTGCTCATCAGTATAGTAGCTCCATGCTTCTATTGAATACTTTCAGCACCTTCGAGTATTTCTGTACTTTAATGCTAAGGCACAGGATTTTTTTATGTACTTACATACATTTATATTTCAAATGACAGTTCTGTATCAATTAGGATACCAGTACAAATCATTTACTTACATGACAATTGTGTTAGCTGTACTTGAATGTTCTTTCAGCAACTCATTTAGCCTAATCTGGCGATAAGTCTGTAATTAAAATGAAACTTGTTAGGAAGATCTTTTATATAAAACGACAAACAGTTCATTTATTCAAGAAAAATGAAAAACAAGCATGATCAGTTGGTAGGAGCTGTTTACAGAAAGCACGTACTTCCACCTCAGTTTGGCAACTTGTTCACTTTTCTGAAATGCCTATGAGTTGCAAGGCTAGGAGAGAAGAAAGCAGTAAGCTTGAAGTATGCAAATAAGCCAAGTACTATGAAAGCTAAGTTTAAGATAGTTTCTCTAATAATAATACCATCCTCCATAGCTCCTGGAAGCAACAGCTCCTTATGCTCTCTTCACAGTTATTTAACTATATCCTATAAGCTCATCGTAAGCAGGTCTTACAGAGGTAAAGTCCTATCTTCATTTGGTAAGCCTATCTCCGTAAGGGCCCTTCTTTTTTTACTAACCTCTGCTGTCTTAAGATCTGAGGTAGCTTCCTCAGTATTTTTCAGTTCTTTATTACGTCAACTAAACTTCTAGCAAACATTTTGACTTAACCATTTCTTCTAGTTCTGTTGTTCTCAGGTAAGCTGAAGTCCAGTTAGCTTGTGGGCTAGTGTCTGAAGAAACAACTAAGCTATCAGTAGACAAAAAGAACAAAATCACTTCAGTTATCTCACTCAAATGAGTTTTGGTAGTGTTTGTAGACATCAGGAACAGCAAGGCATCAAGCAGTTCATTAACTATAAAGTAAATGCACTTTATAAAATTTCCTCCCCCAGTCCCTTGGTAATATGCAGTTAAAAGATGTCATCAGCAGCTGCCAGTCAACCTGTACCTCCCTGTACCTTTTTTTACACTTACAATGCAGAATGATCTACCACTCCCATTTCTTCTTCACTGCAAAGCCTCACAGATATTGTAAAAACCCAGACAGGAAAAAGAAAATAAGGGTGGAATATACTCAGGACCATCTTGAAGAACTTGAGATCACTGAAACTTTAACCAGTATTTCTTTAGATACTCGTCTGTATCTGCATACTGTTATAGGATGCTACCTGAGTCTTCTTCATGGAAGCACTTGAGAAGGAATATCTCTGATGTCTCTATAGTGCACAACTGCTTGGGAAAAATGTCCAACCTTTAATATCTCCTTAACACCACAATTAGATGTGGTGTGTTTGTTCTTTTTTTTTTTTAATAAAGAAGCAAAAAAATGTTAGTTTGGTCAAAGAGAGTCAACAACCAGCTGAACAGAGACTATGTTACTCTAAATTAACTGCTGAAATACTGTAGGAAAGCAGTTCAGGCCCCTCCAAACAGAATGCAGAAACCTCTCGTTTTTCTTTGGTGAACCATCTAAATGATTTCAGATGCTGCTTTCCATCACCTATTTATAAACGCAGCTATGCAAGAGAGCTAATAACAAAAACGAACTCATCGATATCACATCCACAAATGCAGGGGAAGAAAAGTTTAACAACATTTAACGTAACACTCTAAAGAATACAGAACCTTTGTTTTGTAAAGCTCAAGTTCATTATCTGTTATCCTCCATGGTTCATCCTCCTTCATTTTATCTGCAACTTCTTGTTCTTTATCATCTTCATGAAGTCGGAAGGGCTCTATCATTTCCTCAAAAGCTGCAATACTGGAACGATTAAGTTAATAGCCATATTAAAACAGATATGAGTCTATGTATCAACAATTACTTTCATGGTATCAGAAAGTAAGTTTTACTACCATGTAAAAATAAAGTGAATTGAAACTTTTTCACTGCCAGTTACAGTTAGAACATCAAATCAGCTATTTCTATGTGCAGACATTATAATTCAACAAACATTTAGGGACATCTGTAGGAGCTTTCAGTGTTCATCATGCAACTGAAGTTTAAGCCAGTTTAAATAAAAACAACCAAACAAGTTTTCCTGAAGTTTTACTATAATTGTTTGAACACTGTAGAGTACTAACTTAGAAGATGTATAGCAACTAACAGTCGCTTCTTCAAAATTTAATTTGAAAGAGAAGGTCTTTACATGTCACACCACAAAAATAGCTATCAAGTCTCATGACAGTGCCATTAGGATTCTGGCTTTGATATTTTTTATTTTGCTTCTTTTTCATCTTTCCAATACAATCCAAGAGCCACATTTAAATGCAAGTAATAACAGCCATCTGTTCAGTCCTCCTGTTGCGCTTGTTAAGAGTAAGCAGTGTTACTTCAAGTTTACTTGTACTTTAGCAGGAACTTCGAAAGAAAAACTTCTGAAGATCAGAGGCATTAATTTCTACTAGAAAGAACAACTAACATTACCCTACTTTCTCTATGCACATTAAGATACTTAATTGGGAAACAAAGGCTGTCCCAAGTTATGAAAGTAACTTGTCTTTCATTAGCCCCAGCATGTGAGATGTGAGAAAAAATAAAAAAGTTTAGCGGAGCCTACTGAAATGTATGCCTTGCATCCAGTGAAATAACTGTGTTTTGATGCTATTTCAATGTTTTTTTTAAAAAGATGACAAGGTATTGCCAATCTTCTGTGGCTGCAAGTTACAGCGTGGAAAGTTTAACAAACATTAAGGAATACCTCTTAGGATACTGTAGTATCAGTATGTGTAATATGTTAGCTTTAGTTAAACATTCCCCCATGTCCATCTTCTAACCGAGGTGTTCCTGTTTCTCCAGGAAACCCCCACACTACTAAAAAAGCATATTTTTTTTCTACCCTTGGTGGTCTTTACTGAAGTTAGTTGATACAAGGACTTTACCTTCACCAAAAGGGAAAAAAGAAATGTCATCTGCTATTTTCTGGCTGACCAAAAAGGAGAAATATTAACAATATTCTATTATACACCACAGCAACTGTTAAAAATAAATCATCTTCCTGCATTTAGTTTACTGCTATTGTTAATGCCAGCTAGTACATTAGAAAGGTTTTGGATATATTGTGAGGAATATAACCCACAGAGATAGAAAAACAACTCTCAGAAGAAACAACTCATGGATGACTTCTATGAAACAAAAATAATTGCATGTAATTTTACAATCTCAACTTTTTATGCATAAATGCGTGCTACCTCTAAGTTCACACATTTTACAGTAGCAGGCGGCCAAGAGCAAAGACATCCAAAAGCATCAGAGTGCCAGAACTACTCTACCATTTTAGTTACTTGACATATTTGGTACATTTAAGAAAAGGTGATTAAAAAGCAGGATATAAAATAATGCATATTAGCATTTACCACTTACTTAAATTGTAAAACAGTATTTCCTCATTTGCATGACATCAAATTATTCAGATACATGCATATCCATGTAAAAGATCTTTTTACAACTTCAACATACTAAAGAAGACTTGAAGGGAAAGGGGGATCATATTTTTAGATCTACACTTTGTTATAAATTTGTACTGAAAACCATCTACAATTAATATTTTTTAAAATTGAAAATCAGAAATATCACATGTATGATCATTCCTGTGTAAAAGTCCAAACAATTAAAAAAAAAAAAATCCATCAGGCTACTTGAACACCAAGCTTTGTTATATTAAACTAAGACTCCAAGTAAGCTGAAGACCATTTAAATTATTGTGAGCATTTCTCTCAAAGAAGATTGTGCCAGAAAAATTGCATTTTTTTAAACTGTATTTTTCTAAATTTAATACTGCAGTCCAAGGGCCAAAAATTTAAAAAAAATACAAAAGTCTGTGTTCTTGGATGTTGAAGTTATTGCTTAATTTATTTCCTGCATTTTTGTGAAACACTCCATGTCACAGGAACTACTCTGTCAAAACTGTTACGTAGGAAAGAATGCCGTACTCTAAATTCATGAAAAACATCAAGAATTTAACTAAGAAAAAATTCAGTTTTTTTGAGACTTACTTTTCTTTCTTTGGCTTAGTATTAATATCTCCAAGAACCATAATATCCGAGAAGTCTATCCGAAATTTGCTGAGCAAAGTAGCCATCCTGTAGCAGAAAAATAAGCCCTTATGCATGATTAGAATTTAAATTATTTCACAGGGTAAAGAGATAGGTGTTTGGTAATAAAAATGCTAGTTTAAGAAAAAAAGCAACTTAAATGCTTTGGAAAAAAACACCCAAACAGTTTTAAAACCATAAAACTGAGAGAAGAGCTCTCCCTTAAAGACAACCTCAGAAAACATTTGAAAAAGAAAATGTTAAGTGTCACAATGCTGCAGAAAAGTTAGCTTAATTTGACATATCTCATCCACAACAATCTGGGGCAAATAGAACTTTTTCTGGAGAAAGGAAATAGAATATGATTACATCTCAACCAAAGAACAATTTAAAGAAGGCTACTCAGAAGAGAAAGTCATCTACCATATAAGATGCTCTATCAGCATTTAAAATGAAATTTTTACAGGTAAACTTACGCTCTTCTGTCATGATCAATCCTGTTTATTTTTCCACCAATGAACACTCTGATCTTACAATCTTTCCACTTCTTCTTGGTTGTAATAAGATATGGAATCAACAGTGTCAAACCTGCATTTTGACCAGAATTTGGGAATGATTGAGAAAACACATGATCATGTTAGAGTTTAATAGTACAAATTTGTAATCTATATATGAACTGCCTGAAAAATACCTATTAACAATTAATTCAAAATTACTTCAATATTTTTTTTTTCAAGTTTTTAAAGTATAAAGCACATTACCTCCATCATCAAAGAGCCACCAAACATCAATATTGCTTTTGCCTTGTTTCTTCTGAAACTGAGTACTAGCATCAAGAAGTCTTTGGTCAGCCAAGTTTAAAGGAGAAGATGGGCTCTTTGAATCTGGAAAAAAAGTATGATGAAATTTAATTTTTAAAGTGTTTCACTTAATCACCTGAAAATTCATCAAATGCAATTTCTTGATACTTTGTGACATCTCTAAGTTTAAATAAAAATTGTTTCTTCCCCCCAACCCAACTCCAAATTTTGAATGAATGGATATAAACTGAGCTATATTTATGGAGTCTGCAAACTCATAACTTCAGCAGTTAAAGACTTAAATCTCTAAATTATTTAGCAGACATTTGACAAATCAAGAATCTGCAAGATCTTTATACCGTCATTTGCCTGGACAATTTAATTAATCTTGCATACATACATAAGAGCACGAGGTCATGCACTGTTGTTACCTCTGGCATATGACAGAAGTAGCCTAAAAACATGTAGATACTAATTTACAAGTAAATGGTATTTATTACAGAAACAGTTTTGGTTTGGTCTTTCCTTAAATCCATTTTTCTTTAAGCATGTAGTGAAAATCAAATCTAGTTCTGTGTATTGGAATTCTGTCTTTTGCAAAAGTACTGTTTTGCACATGCATGGCTCTGAAGCACAATATAGACTATTTTGCCTAACGAAGTTATTGAATTTGCCAAGAACAAGACAATAATGGCACTTTCAATTACATTAATACAGGTAAATATATTTTTTTTCAAAACTACAGAAAAAAAATACCCCCTTTCCCTTAATTAAAACCTCAGTTTGAACAAGAGGCAAGAGTTTGATATTCATCTCAGTCCGTATTTTATTAAGAATTTTTAAATTTAGAGTACATCTGTGACTGATTTACATTAATATACTCCTTCACTGCATACTGGGACTTCCTCCAAACTGCCATCTTGTGCTTCAAGATGTAATCTCACTTTCCATTACTAAAACACAACAGCTTCTAGTTGTTGAAATTCTGAGGAAAATTAGATGTTATTTCCCTTACTCCTAAATCAAATAAGGACCCAGACAGATACCTGAGACACAGAGAAATAAGCAAGCTCCTGAACACATTTTAAATGTCATTTCAGAGCAAAAGTTAAAAAAACCACAAAAAGTCCCAACATTCCTATGTTAGACACATGCACAATCCTTTCTCAGTATCAATTTGTTCTGGGAATTTCCACATAGTTGCATTTTTCCATAGCCTAATCTCTAAAGATGAAGCACACTCCATAACAATATGAAGAAACAAGTTAACATTGCATGGTTGATAGTTTTCTCTCTCTCATATGTGTGAGTGTAGGAAGGAGTACAAAAGGAAAACCAAAATTAACAATGCAAAAGAATGATTTAACACAAAAAGGTGGAAAATGCCTGCCTTTTTTCAACAGTGGTTGTGTTGGAGTCTTTCCATCCTCGTCCTCCTCTGGAAGATTTTTAAAGATACAAAATAAAAAGGTTAATGTGATGTTAATGAAAACACTCCTAGTGTTCATAAAAAAAATTAGAAAATAAAGATGTAGAATGAAATGGGTTTTCATACAAAGAATCTGTACTTTAAAATAGAATTACATTGCTCACTTAACTATTAAGTCACTCCAAGCTTTTACTTTAGAAAGAAGAGGAAAGTTGGTTGTTGTCACGGCAAAGTATCCTGAATGATCTGTGTCTGTTAACATGCATATAATATTCTAGTGTGAGGTGAAAAAAACGTTCATAAATATAGCAGCCTTCAACTCACACTTAATATTTATATGTTTGGCACAATTCTCAAGCTATTTTTAATGCCTGTCAAACTCACTAACAAAGAAAATCCATTGTAGGTCATTGTCTATCACCTCGTTTATTTAGGCGACTAGATGTGAAAGATTTATTTTACATACTTGTAAGCTCTAAACCAAAGTACTTAAGTGATTAGACATCAATGGATAGAAAAGCATGACACACTTCCATTCCACAGACACAAAAGTCACTTGAGTAATTCCTTGGTGATGGGAGAGAGGAACTGGAGAGGGAATGAGAGAGAGAAAGAGAACTCAAATTTCATTGCTAACTAGCAAGTTACCTCTGTGTAGAGCAGGAGTTCTTTCACTAGATGATGGAGCAAAAGCTAAAGAAGTGTCTGTCTCTGCCTTCTTGCTATAATCCACTTTTACTATAACATCCTTGGTACATGGAGATTTTTCTTGGGATGACAGTAACTCTTCTTTGAGAAAACAAAGAAACACATTATAAACTACTTAATTGTTCCAGATGGTATTAACAGAGGTATGTGACTATACTGAGATGGTTCACAGTTGGTTAAACTCTACTGCAATTGTTATGCTATGGCAAAGAGAGGGGGGGGAAAAAAAAAGGGGAAAACAACAACAAAATCTTTTATGAACTGCTTCAGAGTATGAAGAGGCTCCTCCTCTGAGCAGAGCTGTAATTTCCTGCTACTTCCTTCCCAGATTTTGGGTGCTGATTGCATTACCACAGGCTAAATGTAAAGCAGAGCTAGCTAATATTGAGGAAGTACAACCAGGAGGAAAAATAAATTACTCAGTGAAACATTTCACTTTTCCATTATGACTCCAAGAGGAAGATGATCCTTAGACACGGCCCAGACCATGTATGACTCACAGCCAAGGTTTTTTAACACATTCAGCTTCAATGAAGCTACTGGGCAGCTGTCAGAGTTAAAGCAAACTCACAGTCCCCAGTGGATACCAAGACTCGTTTCACACCTTGGTGTAAAATTTCCCGGTCTTCCCAGCAGTGTTTCACACTGCAAGTTCACTCTCTGCCCTCCTGCACACAGTGACAGGCTCTCTGACTCGCCAAATCCAAAGACATTCTTAAGTTTCCAGTGAAGGAACAAACCTCCCCTCTTTCAGGAGAGGATGCCGTCCCCCTCCAGAGCTTGTGTCACAAGCATTCTTCCTCATTGTAGGAACATTGTACGAAGCAAGCTACAAACAGATTAGACATTATGAATTCAGTAGGCAGTTGCCACCAAAGCTCACAGGCTTCTTTCATTATTCTGCTTGAAATTTAGCTAAAATTATACCGTTCGGCTTAAGATCGCTACCTACAAAGCATAACCAAGTCCTCTAGATTGAAAATAGAAAACCTTTCCAAACTTGAGACAAGACTACTGCTGAGGTCTCTAAGCCAAAGTGTGTTGGCAACCCACACCAGACCCACAGCATTCTTTAATCATGCAACATTTGTAGTGATTGTCACGATTTCTAGACTTGGTTCCCAAATACTTGACAACAATTTGGCAGCCTCTTGGGAAGCAGCTATATACAGGTTACAAATACAGAAAGATGAAACACACATAAAACCAAATTCCCTCGCTGAACACGGGTTATTCTTATTTTACATTTCAGATTTGCTGATTTCAGTGATTTTTATTCTATAAGAGTGGTGTTTTGGTTTGTTGTGTTTTTTAATAACTTATCTTCATTTAGTATTTTCAGAAAGCAGTATTAAAAGCGAATTAGAACAGCTATTCACCAGATGAAACAAAATAAATCTTACCTTGGCCCTGAAGGTGAGAAATGTCCAGGCCTTCCTTTAGGCGGATGACAACTACACCATACTGAACATCAAAGGCATCACTAAACAAGAGGAACAAAAATAAAATATTTTACAACATTTTGTTTCCCAAACGACCTACTATACACACCCTCTCTGAACAAGTTCCAGTGATTAAACACTGCCATTTAAACTCCCAAATCATAAATTTGTGTTACAATTTCAGTTTCAATTCCAAACTATCAACTGCATCAGTGAACTGAACACCATATCCTGAAAAGCAACACAGATGAAGGATATCTATTCCTCTCCTCCCTCGTTCCCCTATGTAAACACCAATTAAATAAAAGCAACATGAAGAGGTCAGTCAAGTTCTGCATAGATAGGATACACTGAGAAATCTGAATTTTTTTCTCCCCCATCAATAAAAGCATTTAGTTTTATTAGATTTCCTTGATTTGAGAACTAAAAATTTCTGACATCTTTGCAAAACATTTGAGTATTAAAAACACCTATGAAGTTTTAATTTAGAATCAAATTAGCTGTAAGTTTGCTATAATGTGCCTATTCCCATTACATCTGATGGTGAAGGAACTCATTCCTTTAAAAAATAGATGGAAAACTTTTATTATTGTAGAAAGAAGAAAAAAGCCTCAATAAATGGCTGTGTAAAAGTGGAGTAAAAAGCACAAAAAAAGCCCCCAAGATATAAAACAGAAAAACATGAACTTAGCCATATCATACAGTTTGCATTAGCCATTAATCTGTCTTTTAAATGTAAATATCTCATTACAAACAACCATAAATCAGAGAACTCCCTCTCATGTTATTTCCACACACACAAATTTCTGAAGATTTCACTCATTAAACACTTCTCTTTAGAAGTAGCAGGACTTGATTAGAAAGATTCAAAGTATCAACATATTCTATAATAAAGACAAGAAAAAATCAGGTTGATTTAAGAAGAAAATGTTTTGACCATTAGAAAACATTTTAAATTATTTAATTTGTTAAATCTGTACAGATTAGATGTTTTTCTATTGTGTGCCTCAGAAACTTCCAGTATTCTAGATATTTTCCAGAAATACGCTTGGCCTACAGTTATTACCTCCTGAGGTTTCTCTTTTGGGATGTGGAGAACCACATGACTTGTTGGCCTCGACAGATCTTCCAGCACAAGCCATTCCAAAATAAAGTGGGAAAAAAAGAAAAACCACGAACTAACCAACATGTTTTCTTATTCTTTACTGCATTTGGCCCTCCTCCTTTTCTCCAAAGGAACTGGGACAGTGGGAAGATACGATTTTTTTGCCCCCTTTTCTAATCTTTGTCTGTAATCCCCCATCCTCTCTTTCTTTTAAATGCACAGTAAATGAGAAGTGTAAAGCACAGACGAAGTGGGTTAAGCAGCACTTCAGGAAAACAAAAAACACTTCGTATAAGTGCAAGAAGCCAGGTGTGGTTTTCTTAAGCGTTAGTAGCACAAGTTATTCTGTTAAATTTTTCAGCCAGAACTGGTCTGCCTTTTAGTACTGTAAAATTACACTGAGATTTCCTTTCCCATTTCCTTTTTGGCTACTGTACTACTTTAGGTGTCAGTGCTGTGGATCTTGTAAGTAAAATATTTCTTGTGTATCAGAGCAAGGTTTAATGAAGATAGAAAGTCAGCATAAGAGTTGATTCAACCGCTACTATACTTAACCTGTACAGACAAAGTGTTGGAAATAAACTGCTTTACATAATGCAGCAGACATAAGACACTAGTTCCATCTCTAAGGACAGTAACTGCCGTAATTCTTTCTAGACGCAGAAAGAGCTATTAGACTGAAATCAAATCTGTTTAAACTATAGAGACTTGCTTACTCATTTTCGTATCAGAAGAAAACCCATGTATTGAAGACCGCTGGATCAGCAATACGGAAAATTTGAGTCTACCTGAAACAGACTTCATGCAACTAAGATCTTGACTTACTACCAAACATACTGAAATGGAACACAAGAGCTTTATTTCCACACTTTCTACTTACTGGAATAAATTGATATAGGTTTCAACATCCCTCATGTCACTTTGTCTCCAGTTTTTCTTAAATCCAACAACAAGAGTGTTAGGTCTCATCCTACCCAGACCAGCAGCCTAAGAAGAAGAAAAAAATATTTTTTTAAAACCACGTTACTGAAACAACTAAAGGTTCTATGATTTTCTTAAGCAGAAAACAAAGTATATTTCATCAAAGACAACTTTGCAAATGAAAATACTTCAAAGTATAAAAATGCTTCCAATTTTGATGTTCATCTTCACCACTTTCATTTAAAAAAAAAAAAACCAAATGAAACATACTTTAGAGAGAAGTGTACCTGCATTAAGTATTGCCCTCCATCCCTCAAGTCCTCTGCATGTACTGGTGCATAGAAAGCCTTCATCTTGTTTTTGATTAGCCACCGCTGATACTTAGCCAAATCAGTTGACAGCTCCTTCATAGCTTGCCTCCGAGGACCCTTTGAAAACGAGGAAATAAAAAGAGAAGAAGGAATGAGAATTATTACTATGATTATTAATAAAGCCCACCCCCCTTTAGTTTCACTGCTAGAATCCAATTCAAACTTGAAGAACCTCAAAACATGCTTCCACACTACCAAAAAACTCCCAAAAAACAAAACACCAGGCATTATCAGTAAATATTGGACCAGATTCTCATTTCTAGGAAAAGGGTTGCTCAAGCTTTAGCAATCTTGTTCCTGCAGCGCAAAACTCACATCCCCAGCAGATGGCACATGCTTGTCCTCCAAAGCATAACGTAGTTGTAAGAGGAAAGGGCTTTGTAATGAAACATACACAGATATAGGATGACTAAATATTAGGCTTTACGGCAACATTTTTTTCAAGCTATACAAGTGTGCCTCTGTGTGCACATAATCCTAATCAGGAAGCCTTTGTCACAGTAATGTCACTTCCGCAGTTTCGCGTTGCGGTCAAAGTCAACTCCTCTTTAAATACCTTCTTTTTATTATTTCCATCAGGACAAATCATTGTGTTCCTCTTACACATCAAAATGCAGAATACAGGACAAGGTATAAGCAAGAACACAGCAGCCCAAGATTTGCAAAAGGATACAGACTGACCACGTGGTCAGAGTTCGTGAAGAATATGGTGGTGTCACGCTTCTTGTAGGAAAGCAATTTTAAACAGAGATAGGACACACTCTCAGAAAATCTCTAATCAGAATTGCTCTCTGGTTATTTTAGGATGACAATATCTTATTTCTCAGTACAACCCTACTTTTGAAAGACAGTAACTCCATCTGTGATATCTTACTACTCTAGTATTACTCCTTTTCTGTCCTGCACTCACTGAAATTTAAAGTTTGTATAGACAGGAATCAAAAGAATTAAAGTTTCTGAAGACAAAACTGGCTAATATTTGCTCAACAAAATGTACGTTCTGTTGATTGCATTAACTTGATTTGCTCTTATCTGTTCATTAGATTAGAAGCACATCGTATTTAGTAAGTGTGGTAAATGTAAATATATTTAAGAGTAATGAATCTTTGTAATTAAAGTCACACTTGCTTAAACGTTCTTAGTGATGTGACAGAAAAGTTTGGCCTTAAAATATGAAGATGAACTACACAATCCCAATATGCTAAGATGTATTTACCAATGTTTATCAGAGATGCAACATGTTCTCCGTAACTAACTGAAGTTTTGGTACAGATCACAGTATGCAAGCCACCTTATATCACAGTTAAGACAACTCATGACAAGCATTATTTTGAAGAAGTTACTTGAAACTTGCTTCCTTCCCTGCATCCCAAAACCTCTACCCCACCCCCTCCCCCAGCTAGTAAGAACTGCTGAAATTATGTCCTTGCAGAGCAGGCCTCACACCCCCAAACCCCTAAAAAACCACACCTCACACCCTGACAAAAAACAGAGAACGTCTGTGAAATACTAGGGGCTGGGCAGAAATAGAACAGGAAAGGAAATACCTGCTCACATTACTGCTGCACCTGCCAATAAAATGAATCTGATAACTGAAGGAATAAACAAACTACATGAAAGGTTAAGAGCAGTTTTTAACTGTTGGCTAAATTGATATTGAATTTTCTGCTCAAGGTTTATTTTAAACCAGGCTTTGTAAGAAATCCACACAGGAATCAATCTCCCCAAAACAGTAACACTGAGAGGAAATCTAACTGTATTGTGCATCGTTTTGACCAACTGCTCTGTCCAAAGCATGGAAAAGTACATGAGACTGTATTGCACAAGGACAGAAGGAGATCCAGGCTGTAATCCAATGTTCAGTTTAGTCCTACAAAGCTTCCTCAGCAGTTAAGCATCAAATGATCAACGGTACTAATTTTGCAAAATTGCTCCTGTAGTACCTAACTTAAATAGCAATGACCCATACATGAATGCATCCTATCAGTAAATCTCTCTTTTTGCACTTCTCAATGTCTAACAATGCTTTTGTCTGAAAAACAAACAAAACCCACACAAAGAGGAACCACAAACAAAAAGCAAACAGATTAATAACAAACACAGTAACTTTAAAGTAAGTATAAAATACACTTGCCATATGTACGTGGCCACAGATCATCAAGCCCACGTTTTTGGTGAAAGCATGGACAAGGTGAAGCAAAGCTGGGCGCGCATTTGGAGCACCGGTCATAATTAAGCACTGAGGTCTAGAATCGTGAGTAGATGAGGAAAAAAAAAAAAGTTGGAATTAATTTCATCTGGAGATGTAGGGGTTTTTTATTAACAGAAAGAAGTTTCTTCCAAATACTGGCCATAAGAATATAACATGGAAAGGTAATCACCTCACCTACTTTTACAAGATTACATTAAATTAAGACCAATTTTTCCACAACTGTCAGCAGACCTAAGATTAATTGGCTCCTAATTTAATAATCCCACTAAATCTGAAAAGTTACATATTTAAAAAGATTGATTTAACTTTGCAGATAGGTCTATGGTGAGTCAGCTGAGTCAGGGATTGGGCAAGACCACATGGTAAAGTCATGTTCAATCTATGACTCTATTTATTTGGAGGAAATTAGTTTAAGTCAATAATTTTTGTTAAAATTTTTGAAACATCTTTCTTCCACAATAGCTTATTCCAGGGAAGTGGCATAAATACCATAGGATAGAAAACTGCCTCTTAGTAGGACCTTCCTGGGTAGCCCTGCAGGCACACAAGTCAGTTCTCTTCAGCTGTGTAAAACACATTCGTGAAGCCTGTTTGCCATTACTAAGTGCAATGACAGAATATGTCTAATGTGAAATAGCTGGTGTTGAGGACAACATCCACAGTATATGCATCTTGAGGGTTTTAAGTTAGATCAGTTTTATCCCAAAAATGTAGACTGAATGCTCATTAGCAGTTTGGAGCATACGTTCCAATTCAGTTTAATCAAATAGGAATGCAATCCATAATTCATGCAAACCGTAAGCATCGAAGAATAAGCAGGCATCATCCATACACTTGCTTCTAAAACACACTCTTAATCAGAAATAAAATGCTAATATAAATATGTCTAGAGAGGGCCATGTGGTGAAATTCTAAGTTATTAAAACCCACAGAATATGAATAGGCATTTAATGGGAACCATAGAAATCAAGGTACCCTACTGAATACCTAGCAGTAATTTCCTATGTCTTTAATATTAACTGTTACCTAAAGTTTTTCACGTGATCTTCCACTCCCGAGAGCCGAATAGAATGCTGTAGTGCATTCAAGTAAGTCAAAGCTTGCGTTGAGGATCCCCAGTTCACATCTGTTGGAAGATTTGAAATTCCAGTATTTTATTTAAAGGTGTTCATTGTAAAACTACACAATCACAAAATTAATGTCAAACACCAACTGAAAACATAAGATTTAAGCTACATCTTCCTACATCTTGGTACATTCTACACAGTACCAGTCAAACCCTACAGCTAAACAGGTGATTCTATTTAAAGATAACATTCCTGTAGAAGTTTTGGCAAACAAGTTAGAGTTTGATATTTTACAATTATAGGAAGAAAGAATTGAGGTTTTTTTCCCCAACATTTCAAAGATTGTGACAACTTTGCAGTCAAAAAAATAACACTTCAGGAGAAAATGCTACGCTTAGTTATTTTATATCACAGCAAAGGAAAAAGTAATCTCAAAGCATTGCCTAAATGAAATCAAATACTTTCAGTGAAAAATTGCTGGATTAAGCAGTTCTTTTTAGATTATTATTTTTATAAAGAAATCAAAGATCCCTGTATCCTTTCTATTTGTTCCCATATACATCTTTTTACAGCTACAATGAATTTATTATCCAAGTACTTCATATTCTTTGTAGCCCAGGATGTAGGGTTTTCCTTATTTTCAACTTCAGGAAACACTTTTTGTTTCAGTTCTGCTCCACCTTGCACTTATGATCATACAGTGCTCTTAGAAGAGGGAAAGAATCGTATAAGTTGTTGTTCATAGCTACAGGAATGGTTTATTGAAACCACCACTCACATCCCTTTTCAAATTGGAAGAGTGAGGGAGCACCCTCTTTCACTTCCTATCAAAACATAACATGCTTTCCTATTGCCTTTGTTACTGCAACTCAAGCTCTTTCTACCTTTTCCTCCAATTTTCATTCAAATGTTTATGTCTAGGGCAAGACATACATCTTGATAATTTGGGAGGAGGGGGAACAACAGCAGTAACTATACAGGCAAAATCACATTTCACGACAACTAAGAAGCGTGAAACAGAAGTTTGAACTAGTCAGCCAAGCAGAAGTTCTTTTTTTTTTTTTTTCTTTTCTAAAGGCCATAATTTTTTCCCTTCTTCTACATCCCTCTTCCACCAGCTGCAATCATAAGAAGTCCCCATACGTACCCGGTTTCTTGTAAGTGACATAAATGTAGAGTCCAAGCACTATGACATATGTTAGAAGTGCTGCCCACCAATTAATGACAAACATCACAATGCAACACAGAATAGCTCCAACAAGAGAAATCCACATATTGTAGTACTTGAAAGCAGGGCGCCAACCTAGTGAAAATATAATTTGGAGAATAGAACAGAGAGGGGAAAATCAATTTAATCACTACCCCAAGTGAAGGAAGGCGATATTCCTCTTTTCCTTCCCTAGAGCTGTGCATCACATTTCATGTGAACACGTGACAGTTTCAGCAGTGCACAAAATAAAGACTCTGGCACATTTATGCTTTTAATTTTCCAACATCTTTCAAAGGAATTTGCATCTTTCTTACATAGATACATAAACATTTCCAATTCTGCCCTCTAAAAGCGTATCTCAAAAGGAAAGTTTGAAGATGCTGGTGCCCATACGTCTACTGAATTCGGCTACAGAAACCTTTGGCAATAGCTTGCTTGACAATTGATTTTCGCTTTCAAAGGTTATATAACATAAATCATCAGCTTGTGGCTCTCTTCCACATACTACTAACTGTTTCTAATTCTGTATTTTTACTATTTTCACATGGCCAGAAATTTTACTACATGAAAAGTAAAAAGACAGATGTATCCAAGCAGAACTTCAATATGTCAAAACACTGGGCTGTCGCTGTTTTACATCCTTATTTCTCGCAAGTTTATCCAAAAACACACCATCCCCCCACTAATACACTCCAGATTAACAAGTGTATTAGACATAGAACTGTTGTGTCAACAGTTACGCACATGCTCTGGCAGAATAATGACACCTACCAGTTCAGCAACTTAAGAAGCTTTTAAGGTCATTATTTCAGTATAAATGCATAGTGCACTGGGCATGATACACATCTGTTCTGCAAGTGCTGGGTTTTAGCTGATTCCTACAACCTAACTAGCCTCCCACACCAAGGCTAAAAAAATGTGGCAATACCACCTACAATTCCAGTGTCTTCTGGACTGGAAGATGAAACACATTAACAGAGAAATCCAAAGAAGACAAAAGGCTGGCTCTTGAATGCCAGATACTGAATTAGAAAGAAAAAGTCCTATGTGAGTTTCTGAATAAACACAGAATTATCTTGTGTTCCCTCAGCAAAAATGACAAAATCTGTAGCTCCCAAGTTCTACTGGATCACTCAGTCCTCAAAATTTCAGAAGACTCAAAATACACACCCTACCATGCTCGTAAGTCAGATGCACCGGAAGAGTCAGACATTTAGTAACTACATTAAACTAAACATTCATTTATACTAATACCTTTTAAATTGTAGTTATGCATAAAGAAATCGCAGGCTAAACTCGCACTCCCAAAATGTAGTTCCTACCTGGAGATTTTGCAAGAGAAGCATGGAATACAGAGAAGTTAATCAAGGCATATGAGGCCAAGAAGAAGTTTGAAATAATTGGAGCAATGACGTTCAGTTCAGCTGTAAAACCAAAAACAAAGCAGGCTGTTACAAAAGATATCATCCAATGGCCTTGCAGATTGCAGAGCAAGAAATCTGCTACAATCAACATTATTTTCTGATGTACTCTAAGGAGAAGCAGTTTGTCCCTGCTGTTATTACTATCTTAATGGTCTTTTATTTACTAAGTAACAGTCTTTTATTTACTAAGTTATCTTCTAATAGTCAGGAAGTATAAATTCCAGTTTTGAAAATACAAACATTTTTCCACACTACCAGGTGTTCCAGGACTGCCACTTTTGAAGCACTACACACTTTAAAATAATTCATTGAGAAAATTTCTTTCCCACCATGCCTTAAGCAAACAGGGCACCAATACACCAGGTTCTGAAGAATGTCAGAAATAGTAGACAGAGCATTACTACATCTGCAGTACGCCTCTAGCTCAATTCTCAAAGAGCAAAGAATAAGATACTAATAAGTTTAAGAGACAATCAGCTATGGGGAATGGCAATAGCAGACAAAGTTAGCGTGAGCAATGTGACAAACGTGCATCTGCCTGTATTTTAAATAAAAAGTTGCACCAATGCTACTAGTGTAGTGCATTATTACAGACCAATACCATCACAAGAGTGATGAGTACGCTCTCTTCGGTGAAAGAGATGGAAGAATCTGATGCTCTCCCTTCCTTCAGGCAGCATGGTACACTACATATCTATGTGTACTCTCACCATCAAAAAAAGTGATCAAAATGCAGAATGTGCCATTATAGTCTGCAAGTTTCTACTTGTTGTAACCAAGCTTCCAGTCAGCATGCTGCAGTAGGGACATTATGGGCGTACCTGTGCCTTAAGCAGACTTGGGGTAAGGATGGAAGTGTAAACTGGGAAAAGTTTAAAAGTACTGGTACAGGACTCATGGATGGACACAGCACAATTAGTTCGCCATCTACACAGAACACATGTAATCCTACCTAGACTATCTTTACCTTTAGCAATAGCAGCATCAGCACTCATCTCTACTGTTTGCAACTTAAAAACACACTTTAAAAAGTATTGTTCATTCATATTTGCCATTTACTGAAGCTGTTTGTAGTTATTAAAAATCTGAATTAAACTTTCACATTTACAAGACGCAAGATGTCTCTACCTCAAGCAAAAGATGTATTTTTATTGATTGACAATATCTAAAGACAGATACTTGAGGTTATTAAGAAAAGTGCAGTATTGCTACAGTTTAATTCAAATTTATTGCCATTCTAGACACAGTTGTATCTAGAAGACAGGAGAAACTACCCCTCAAAATAAACAGATTTAGAATGCTGGCTTAGAATTAAGCTGTTCATTAGACCTCTAGGATACTGTCATGACATGGAATAGAATGTTTTGTAAAGGACAAAAGGATATCGAGATTTACTATAATTTCAAACTAACCAATTAGTATGAACCCAAGAGCAATTAAAAATGTTAGAAGATATCCTCTCAGTGGTTCATTGTTCTTCCCATAGCCTTTAGCAAACATCTGAAATCCTGGATAAATGTTGTCCTTGCACAAAGCCTAAGAAAAAATAGAATTCAAGAGTCAGCATGCATTTTGTTCAAAATGTATCCTTACTAATGCATATTAATACTGGCTTCCACTGCATATTATCTTCTGAAAGAAGGTTTATAGCCACTGTGTACTAATTCTATTCTCAGTTGCCTTTGCATCTTGACATTTCGCATTTCCAGTATTCTATCCTTCAGTAGTTTCTATCTATAAGCACAAGCTCTGCTCTTCTGTAATTGTTGATTTTACTGATATTTTACAATCACAGAGTGTTTCTTTCATGATGATGCTTTATCAGAAAGTTAGGTTTTCCCCATGTACGCACTAGTTCTCTGCATCAATATTCGTGCTTCTATGCTGCAACAAAATCTCTTGTATGTTTGACTCCCTACTGAACTTTTGGGAAAGAAGGTCATTAGAGGACAGTAAAGTTTTGACCAATTAAAAAGAACTTTCGAGACCAAAAAATGAGTTTATAGCAAATACATTTAAGCAAAATACATTGATTTTGTTGGTAATGTAAGTTATTTATGTGAGACCTGGTACACAATTATTTTGATAATTTATTCTTTGAGAATTAAGATTCCACAGCTACAGGTTCTACTTCATGCTGTCTCCTTCTGTGGTAACTTTGAGAAATGAACTAATAGTTATCTTTGCATGCGCTCCACTGTTACTTACAACAAAAAGCATCTGAAAGAGTTTGTAGACTCCTGTAATGTTAGTTACACCTCAGCTAATCTCTAAACTAACCAGAGACACATGAGATCTGGAACAAATTGCAGTCTACCTACATTTAGTAACAGTAACACACTGTTTTCCCTTTCTAAGCAACAGGTAAATATTCAATCAATCTACTGACGTCAGCTGGTATGAATCATGATGACAGTATGTCAGAGTCCCTTTCCAAAAATTCTGATTCAAAAGTTAATTAAAATGATAAAAGATTATGTTTTTGCTTCGATACTTACCTGGAAGATCTTAGGTGCACTCACAAGAGATGCTAATGCAGAAGACAGGGTGGCTGAAAAAATGCCTGCAGATATCAGTGGAGCAAATCCCGACACCATGCTCATCACCTGAAAGCAAAAAATTATTTTCTTAAAAGAATATGAAAAAGCATACTATACAAATGGATAGCAACATTAACTACACAAACAGAAGAATAAAATACTAGGTACCCTCGACCTAAAAGCTGTTTGAGTATCATGCATTCATACCAATGAATGAACTATAGACAAATCAAGGGATATAAATGGATCTTGAATTCAGAACAAGAGAAGGTGGCTTTTCACACAATATACAGTCCAACCATTAAATTCTCAAAGCAAAACAATCAACAGCAAAAGTCTCCATGTGTTCATAAGAGTATTAAAAATCAATCATGGAAGAAAAAGAAACTGGAATTTGTTACATATTTTGACTAGACTACTGCTGAATAAAACAGTCTGAAGCGCAAGGAGAAAACTACTGAAATTAGGGAACATCCTGGGAAAGCTGACTGTCTCTCTCAGCAACTCCATCACTTTAAATTAGGCTTGTTTCCCATTCAAAACCACAAGGACAGGACAAACGGGCTTCCCATCTCCCCAGGATCACATTTTGGAACATCTTTGTAACCCCAGTGAGTGTAATACAATATGCAATTCTTGGTAGACTGGATGACTATCAAAATGATAAATGCTCATTAAGCTAAACATAAAAGAACAATGTTAAGGCATTTAAAAAACCCCAACCAAATTAGAACCAAAGCAGTTTCCGTCTAATGGCTATATAGTGTAAAGACCCTCTTCTACCATTCTACTAATTACTCCATACTCTAGCTGCATCCAGCTTTGCATGTGTCAAGTGAACTAAGACACAGAACTATGCATTTAAAAAACAATCATGGTTTAATAGAGGACTTTTCTTTATGAAACAAAAACCTAAACTGCTTGAAGACAGCTAGCATTTAAGAATTTGATACCATTTTGAAAAAGTTTTTCAGTCAATGGACCAAACCCAGCACGGTGCCTTTCAAGCACAATGTGTCAGAATGAAGCTCTGCATCATTTGCACCAATTACTTCCCTCTTTCATCCTGGCAACGTCACCTAGGGTATCAGCAAAGGGACTTACTGAAGGCAATCAAGATCATGCAGAAGTGTCCAGTTTTTAAGTTACTGTCACTTGAAGTTGTAAGATCTAGGTGTCTAAAGCAGTCTTACTAGGTAGGACACGCTCTCAAAAATCAACATACAGATGACTGATCAAGTTTTATTCATATTCCTAGGGATAACCTAATGATAAAATTTGGCATTTTTCTACAGATCAAACAGAAAAGACTGTCGAGTCTCTCAAACCGTCAGCTGAATCTGTTACATCATGTTTCATTGGTCAGTTCAAGGAAAGCCTTGTCTAAAAATTAAGTAATTGCAGGTGCATAAGATCAGAACGAAGCCGCCGTCATAGTAGCCTAACAAATGAAGGAGGGAATATCCTGAATCATATCTGTAGTTGACAACAAAAAAAAGGTAGGATAGGCTGTTACTCATAGATGAATAAAACTAATGACACATACATTAAGCCATCCCTCCTCACCCAGGTTTAAGCAGTTTTATACTCAACAGAAAAAGTTAGCTGTAAATGCCAGTTTGTGGTAACTTCTAGAAATACAGTGTAGAGTTAAGGGTGTAAATGCTTTACTGACAAATATTTTAGGAAAAAAAAAAACCAAACAACTTTGCTATAGCAACATAATAAAAAAAGCATTGAATAATCTTCACACAAGCAGTATGAAAATCTTCTTCCCTGCAAGGATGGCTTGATCAATCTTCCCTGGAAGGACTTGTTATACACAGAATCCATGTACAAGTCTCCACCACTTATCTTCCCACTCAATTTAAAACACTGCTATTCTGAGGTCTTCACTTTACTACAGTTGCATCAGCTTCTTACAATTTAGTTCTTACAATCTACTCAGATTTTACATTCTCCTTCTAGGTTCTGTTCGTTGCCTCCATTTTTTTTACACTACCTATTTTTCAATATTAAGACTGGTTTATAATTTGAGACAAATCTGAGTAAGATGTATGCAGATAATGTTTGTCCATTTTAAAAGCTAGTAAGCTACAACTTAGGTTACTAATGCAAGAGACATTAGGAAGCTTATTCTAAACTAGGGAAACAAAAGGGGAACCAGTTCTAGCAAAGCCAGTGTGCCATGGAGGGAAAAACCCCTACCTCCCCCAGGCAACATACACATCATAATCCAAACCTCATGACCTCAAAACCAAGGAACCCATATATGCAGTTAGCTACAGCACTGAAATTTTCATCCTTGAGATAACACGCAGAATTGGAATGACAGATATCTAGTAAGAACTGTCCTGTTACCACTGGTGCAGTGAGATAGATTACTGCTGATAAGGGACTCATTATGTTTGCTTGGCATTTGCTGTTTAGACAGTTTCTTAAATTTCAAATATTTCAAAGATTTGGGATAATGAAGTATCATATTTTGACTACAGTTTCAGTTCTTCGGTCCAGCCATTGTGGAGCAGAAAAAAATGCCACATGAAAACAAGCAGCAGCTTCTTCAAAGTTAGACTTTTACAATGAACATGGACAAAGAATTCTTCAACTCCCTCTTCCTCTAACTTTTTTCAAATGTTTTACAGCAGCCTTCCCTTGTAGGAGGAATGTTTTAGCAGAACTTTTACACTGTTTCTGAAGTGGGGTTTCATGCTACTTTCAACTTTCATGCAAAGTTGACCAAATTCTGTATATAAATTACCCAAAGCTACAACTTATTCTAGGGAAGTTCCAGGCCTAGGCTACAGACCCCAAAACAAGTTTCTGAAGTCACTCTTCTATCAGCTACTCTTCTGCCTGGGCACAGAAATATCACTGACACTCAGCAGAGAAATGTCTGCAGCCTGTGAGGGGACCTAATAAACGCTTATAAATATCTGAAGGGTGCGTGTCAGGAGGACGGGGCCAGACTCTTTTCAGTGGTGCCCAGTGACAGGACAAGGGGCAATGGGCACAAACTGAGGCACAGGAAGTTCCAGCTGAACAGGAGCAAGAACTTCTTCACTCTGAGGGTGACAGAGCACTGGAACAGGCTGCCCAGGGAGGTTGTGGAGTCTCCTTCTCTGGAGATATTCAAGACCCGCCTGGACAAGGTCCTGTGTAGCCTGCTCTGGGTGACCCTACTTTGGCAGGGGAGTTGGACTAGAGGTCCCTTCCAACCCCTAACATTCTGTGAGGACCTGCAATTTATTTGCATTGACTACAATAGAAACTAAAGATTGTCCTTCTGTGCAAGTGTGACTAAGCCTGTCTCACCAGCTGTTCTAATTTTCAGTTCTTATTTTAAGTTTCTTAGCACCCTCTAAGTTTTCCACAGGTAAATCATACTAGAAGTCATCCATTTGCTGCCCAAACACATTCAAAACCTGAGCTGCATAAGCACTAACTTCAAACCAATTCTTTGCCAGCTGTGCTGTATTCAGTTCTACGTGTACCCAAGTGATGAAGTCATCAGGCTGTACACACAAGTAAGCTGGTACATTCAACCTCAGAACCTGCATGCTTACAAGCTGTGAGACAAACACTACAGTCCTCGCTTACCTTAGGGATTAATTCATGTTTGTGAAGTATTTGTTCTCAGTTATTTAATCTACAGAAAGAAGTTACACTTGTATGAAGAGCTTGAGAGCTATACAAGCTTGGAGCCCCCACCTTGCATATTAGTAAAAGCATCTCTCCTTGCAGCTACCCTTTAGAGGTACTACACTGAGGGCAGCTCAGTCAGAAAACAGACAACAGTTTATCGACAGGTAGACAGCCTCTCATGCAAATTATTTCTTTCTGACATCATCTGCAAAGACAGAATCAGACTCTTCTCAGAGATGCACAGCAAAAGCTGTGAGGACGAGAAAAAAAAAGCAAACAGCAAGGGGAAGTCCAACTGGGTATTAGAAAAACAAAATTCCACAGAGATTGTGGTTAAGCACTGCAGCAGGTTGTCCAGAGATGCTGTGCAGTCTCCATGACCAAGTTCTCAAAAGCCCAACAAAAAGAAGGGCATAAGAGGCAGTACATTCTCTGTGCAGCCCCCGGCCTTGAAAGTGACGTCCATTCAGAGCGCACCAGTTTTTCCACACACAGAAGAAAGAATAATTTGGGAGACAGAAGTACTCTTTAGACCACATAGTAATAAAGTAAAACATTCATCAGTAACTTATTAGACGTACAAGCAACATTTATGGTAAGCAACGTTACCGAAGTTCTGACTTAAGGAAAAAGATACAGTCAGAGGAAACCAGCTTTATGCTATTCTCAGTTGTACATTTGATGATATACTGGGTTCTTCCAAGCTTAAACAAATGAGGAGAAGTCATCATATTTTGCAGAATTACTATTCCCATGATAATAATTCTGAAGTGTTTCTAAATACAGACTTATTCTAAACCAGAACAGAAGTAACATCACACATATACTCAAGTTATTCCACTACAAAAACATGTTTTACTCTAATAGAATGGTCTGCACTGCAACCTTATTTCAGCATGTACAAAATAGGTTTTCCACCCAGCTTTGCAGGTAAGGCTGTCAGCCTAACATGTAAGTGGTACATGTAAGAAGTACACACACCACATGTATTTCTGACCAACACCCACAAGCCAGACACCTTTTCCATTAGTGGATTTTAACTTCATCGCTAGCAAACTTTTTGTCTGGCTATTAGAAAAATGCAGGACAAAGATGGACTACCACTAAGCAAGTTTAAGTCAATCAGCAATAAGAAATTTTTCCTTGATTTCTTTCAAACCCTTACTGGTAGTTCATGGACATATCAATTACCTGTGAAGTGTAAGTTGAAGTCTACGAATTACCCCATGACTTCTAGAGGATTTTTAGCTACAGTAACATCAGGTTTTATGAAAATTCACAACATTCTTACCATTAAAGAGGATACTGTAACAAATATGTAAAACGTTCTTAAAAAGTCAGCATATTTTCTAAGAAACTTAAAAAATTAAGGAACAAGATACTGACAGACCTTACCTATGATTGATATGCATTACTATTGAATAATGAGTACTTCTATCCACATCACTGAACGATGACATTCAGATATCTAAAGATAGAAACTTGCAGTCCCACCACCTAGCCTAAGCAGTTTACTCAGAAGAAGAGTAAATATTTATACCACTGGTGTATAAACTTACAAAAGTTTTTAACATAGTTACCTTGTGCTTCCACATACTAGCTAGAGTGTACCACTTAATCATTCCAGAAAAACCTTGTATTTAGAGAGACAGGCATTATTAGACTATTATTTTTTTTAATATGCAATTAAAAAAAAGAATAAAACTCAAAAGCCAATAAACGGATTTATGAGAAAGTTTTTTACCTGGAAATTGTTCATCAGCCCATACTGACACCCGGTCTGACAAGATGAGAAATCGTAGTTTAATTTGCAAGCTGCAGTAGTGCAGTTTGTCAGCTCAGTGACAATGGTATTATTAACGTTCCCTGTGGCATCTCGAACAACACAGGAACCTAGAGTGGACACAATCACAAAAAAAGACACTAACAGACTGAGTCTGAACTTAAGGACATGTATCGAGCTCAATTCCCTTTCTGTGTAAGCGTATTCTCAGAGAGAACATTAAAATATGGCATTTACATTTTTAATACATTTCACTATTAAGCACATCTTCACTACGAAGAACAAATACAAACCAGCAAACTAATTGCTCTCTTGCCTGAGACGTTCTCCAGTTTTTGAATAAATCCGAGTCTAATAAGAAAAGGAAAGTTTTAGCACAGAGGAAAACAATGTCAATAGACTTGCAAAAGTTTAACAGCACAATTTCAGCTCAACATACTATTTCTCTGAATTACGAGTTTCTGCATAGCTCTTTAATTAAAGTTAATATTATCCACCACCACTTGATTTTAAAGTCTGCCTTTTTGTCAGTTTTCCTAGAGGAATGCATTTTTGTAGTGTATGTACAGGCATCTGTAGAGAGGTGTGCACTGTGTTGCAGTTATTTCTTTTCCAGTCAATATGGCTCAGACATCCAAAAAAATTAGTTTGTCATGAAAGCCTCTTGCAAGTCATCTCCCAACACTTAAATAGGCCACCTCCTTGTGACTGGTATTTTAAGTTGGTTTCCTGGTGAAAAACCAAGTCACACAGTTCCATTCCTGCCACATTTTCCATAATTAAGTTCATTACTTAAAATGCTGTCTTCAGTTTATCTGTGATTATTTGTAATTCCATTGGTCAAGAAAATGCTGAGGTCACAGCATTTCAGCCTTTAAGTACTAAGAAAAATTAAAAAGTACTAAAAAGCCCACCAGTCTTCTAATTCAAGGTTTTTTGTCTCGTGAAGCACAAAACAAACGTGAGCAGACTATTATTTAACATTCTAAGGTTTAACAGTTGAGGTAGTCAAATTGTTTGGACACAAGCAGGTTATTTCCAGGAACAGGAATTAAATGAGGAGTGTGGAAGAGAAGAAGGAAGTCTACAGAGCAGTAGCCAACAGAATTCCCTTAATTTGTTCTAAGAACTTGAACAAGACCACCATGGGAACAGAACCATGTGGCTACTGCTAAGTTACTTACTTGAAAAATAAGGAGGGCACAGATGTGCTGCAAGCTTAAGTTTCTCCAATAACAACCCCTGTTATCTATGTAAATTGTCTTTTTCACTGGAAAAATGAATTCCTAAATACCTATACCATATTTAGATTGCTCCGAGCCCTAATTTCATTAGAGTTTGCTATATTGATCACCTGCCTTATTCTTTTCTTGTGGGTATCTGGAGGGGCTGGAGACTGGTTTTTTTGTGTTATTGTTCTATTTTAAATGGAATTAAAAGCTCTGTGTGAGAAAAAATTTCTTCTCTTCCACTATGCAAGTATTTGCCCCAGCCATTCAAGGAGTATACAATCAATGTGACAATATACATACCAGATGAACTATCTGTAGATAACATTTTGTTCGTAATAGATTGCAATGGCAGACCCATTAAGTTGAGCAGTCCATTAAATAGCTACAGTGCACTATCACAGCCCTCCCCTTCCTCATTCCCTTTTTCATAGTTCAGATCCAATTGGCTTGCAGCTCTTTCACACACCGAGTCAAAGTATGACAGAAAGGGACAATGACACCATGAAAAAACGTAATGTGAGCCTACAGAACAGAAGCCAGCTGGGCAGGCTCGATTTTCAGCAGAAGATACTTAGATGTAAGCAACAGTCCAGATATTTTATTAAACCCCCATTCAGAAAAGTTTCATTTGATTATAAGATTCTGGCAACATTTTCCCTAAGAACCTCTAAGTCTTCTTGCCTGTAAAAACAGGATTTTGCCTTTTCATAGGTATTTGTAAACACATTCCTGCCAAGGTCAGAGATTTGCCATGCTGTAAGTCTGAGAAGGTTAACAGACCATCTGTATCAAGTTATCTCCCAACTACATGCAACCAGCAAGAATTACAGAGATACTACCCTGAGTCTTCAGACTGCAGCTGAGAGTGCTTACCTTCTCCGGTGCTACAAGCAGCTACCACTAGACTCATTAATTAGTTTTACTTCTCTGTGTACAGAAAGCATATCTTAACCCTACTCAGAAGTTTGGGGGTTTTATTTGAGCTTCCCTTTTTAAAGCAATAAATGTTGTTCTTTGATACCAAAATTCTTGCAAGACATATTTCAAAGTTGCTTATGCACTCTTCATCCTGCCACTCGCACTAGTCCCTTGCTAAAATATTAAACTCCACACCTTCTTGTCACAGCTGTCACCTTTTTGAAATAGGGTGCCTAGCTCTAGCAGCAGGACCAGCAATTTTCCTCTTATAAGCCTTATCCACTCAGTTTCTCAACCCTCTTTCTTACTACAGAGCATGCAAATACTGAGCTAAATTCAGAACATCATCTTCTCCTTCAGACATGACTACTCAGTGACACTGACTAGCCCCTTCAAGGTTTTAATGACGTGCTTATCACTACTCTGGAAACTTACAGTGGGGAATAGTGTGTGGGGAAAGGAATAGAAGTATTTGTCCTGATCCAATGCCTCAAAAAAAGCTAGATTTCACTCATGTCATAATCTCTGACCTGCAATAGCACTGGCCTTTTCTAACTAGCAGTATTCTAAGCGTAAGTTACAGGAGGCAACTAAGGCAGGACATTTCTGATGCATCAAACAATTTCACGTTCAGTTGGTTTTGCAAACTGTTCCTTTTGCAATATGAAAAATGAGGTTTTTCATGTCTGAAAAATGATCAAAGTATTTCATTAACCAATGAATACTGATGAGCATTTTGCTCTTATGTGGTTCAGGTTCTAAAGTATTCAAATTTGGTAGCAGAGGTCTACACAGTCAATCTAATTAGGAAATAAGTGTAGATCATTATGCTGCATAAGGCACAATCACTACAGAGCAACTGTTTGGCAGCGCTACAGTACAATGTTAGCCAACAGAGACAGACTAGCAAGACTGGTATCTTTGGAAAGGAAGTATCATTAGCGGCAAGATCAATGGTACTCTTATAAATGAGAATTTCATTCAAAAGGCAGCACAGCTAAGATAAGGCAAGGTCTTTCATACAAGAAAAATTATTACTGCTGCTAGAAACCAATTTACGCGATATGAATAAAAACATCTCCAATCAAAGGCAAAAAATATGTGAGACACAATTACTATCTTATGTTTTTAAAGTTACTAGAATAGAATTATTTTATGGGGGGAAAGCCCTGGTTGACCATTGGTGCTCTAGAGGAAAACTGATCTAGAGAGCATCAAACCCTAAGGCAACTTCTACAGAGAATTTCAAACCACTGTGGGTGTGGAAGACTGGGAAGAGAGGTTATACAAGACTCAGATCAGTCTATGATTGCTTCTCCTCTTTCCACATGAAAATCAAGCCACAGACAACATTTCTGAACATGATAACACTTCTGAAAGTGGCCAGATGAAGGTATTACTCACTCTCCTCCCTCTACTGGGGAATCACTGCTCATGCAACCTCACCAAAGAGCTGTTTGATCATCCCACAATAAATTTCAGATAAATAGCTGACTACCATCATCTTCAAAACCAATATACATGTTTGTTCAGTGAGTATTTTCTGAAAACGTGCTTTTCTAATCCAGGGATTATCCCACTGCTAAACTGCAAATCTTTTAACATAGCTAACTGCAATAAATGAGGAAACATCCATACGAAATCTTTTGTCTTCTTTAGTCTGAAGCAGCTGCTACTGTTAGGAAAAATCTTTCATTTTAGGAAATTACAAAACCAGCTGAAAATCAAACCTCCAACAATAAAAACTAACCTCTGGCTATTACTTCCCCATGTATAAAAGACAATTACATAATGACTTTACCTAACGAATTACATAAACTGTTTCAAAACACATCCTCAGAATGAATGTGAAAGGATAAAGTTAAAAACATTCTCTATTTACCTACAGATACTGCAATTCCTACGTAAACCAATGTAGTAATTAAGATGGCCAACAGCGTTCCTTTAGGTATGGCTGACTGAGGATCCTGAAAGAAAAATATCAGTGGACAGTGATGACAGAGATAAATGTACACTCGGTGTCTATGAACAGTATTTGCCGATTCACTACTCACCGCAAGATCACCTGAGATATTTGCACCAGCAAGTATGCCAGTTGCAGCCGGGAAGAAAATAGCAAATACAGAAAAGAAAGTTTCCTCCTGTCGGAAATCTGGTCCAAAATTCTCCATAAATATTTCAGCTGTAGGAAAACATTTAAGTCTATAAATATTCATACAGAAGCTACAGTATTCACCAACCACCCGATCTAGTTGCAAATGTCCCTGTTCATTGCAGGGGGCTTGGACCAGCTGAGCTTTAAAGCTCCCTTATAACCCAAACTATTCAATGATTATATGAGTATTAGCCCATTCCAGCCATTATTAGCTCCATGGAAGAGCTGAAAGTCACAGCTGTCTGATGTTCTTAAGAGCAGAACATTTAAGTCATAATTCATCACTTTGACTCAAAAAAAAATCAAAATAATGAACTTACATAGCCTTTAAAAGCAGAAAAAGTACTTAGAGTATCATCCAACTTTTTAAAATTTAATGTAATCAATATTGAGCAGGCAGGACCAAGTTTTGGCCCAATAACTGTAGAGATATTTTTTCTGATTCTTCTGAACTTCCGCGGTTTTGTTCCTTAAAGCTAAATAGGACTATAAGCTATTTTAGATGTTTAACTTAATTAGGCAAAGATAAGGCATGCTGTCAAAGACAGTGGTTACAAGACTAACTGTTCCAACATACCTTTATAACCAAAGAAACCTTTCGGCTTCTTGCTATCCAAAGGAATAAATGTTCCTATGACGAAGTCTCCAATAGCAAGTATGAGGATCACCAGTAAGACTATCTGTGCCTGAAACATAATGATTGCAGTCAGACAGAAGAACTTGCTTTTTTTCACAGTTTCAAGCTCAATGTTGTGTTCCAAAATGTAAATATTTATGTGATTCTAAATTCAACTCAGTCTTCTCAGTTTGCTTTCAACAAATAAATAAGCCAAGCCGGAAGGAACACGTACCAGGATTTTTAATAAAGAAATAGGAATAATTTTCAAGTTTAATGTCCATTCAAAAGAGAATGTCATTACCATACATCTAAAAAGTTATACTTCTAAAGACAAAACACTTAAAAGAACTATTTTCTCTATAAGCCTTCCAGAAGGAATGGATTTGAGTAGATTGAAAAAATTCACAACAAAAGAGCTAAATGCACACCAGTGCTAGGAGTACTGCCTTACTAACAGTGATCGTAATACTTTGCCTTATACATTAGTATGTGATATTTACTCAGAATTTTATTACATCAGGAATCAAACAGCCTTTGTTTGCTATTTAATGCAATAGACTATTTTGTTACATTCTCATGTTCTCAGCCCTTATTTATGAAATTAAATTGGAGACTACCACAACTGCTTGTTAATTTCTAGTTGCCTTGAGACTTTTTTCATTACAACCTAGATTTTTAGCCACTGTTGAATAAATCCATTATAAACGCTACACTTGGAACAAGCAGTACTTTAAATCATCCAACACCTCAAAAGTGTGAGTAAAGGTAAATCTAGGCATTGAAGAGATGGTTCGGGTTTTACATTTAAATAAGCAACCACACTTCCCTATTATCTTTTGTGTTATTTGATTCCTTATAAAAGGTATATGCCAGTGACTTAGGGGAAGCTATTCGTAGGCTGACTTTATTTCCAGGCCTAGGTTTCACAACTTAATATGCAATAGCACTGCAGCATTGCTGACTGTTACAAACCAAAGTTTTCAGTTGACACAGCCTTGCAAGAAAACAGGGATAGTACAGCAACGAACCGAGCATGACAGCCAGGAGCAGAGTCAGAAGACCACCTGAAGAAACCAATTTGTGCATCATATTTACGTCTCTCCTTTGCCAAGCCTAGAGAATCAGCGAGAGATGTAAGGATGCAGCTTGGTGATTACAGAAGTCGTCAATAAGCCCAGAGAATTCAACATGAAGCTACCACAGAGCAATTGCCACAAGTGGATTTATCCAGTAACAAACCTAGGCTTCTCCCTGAAGCTAAGAGCATTTTCTGAATATTGTCCTTTTATTCAGAAGTCTCAGACAAAGAACGGGCTTCTATGACTTGAACAGAAGGAGCTGAGTGGTGAGAGATCACAAACTCTGAAAAGTCATTTTTTTAAGCAGGCTTCCCAACCTCTCTTAGCTTTTACGTCTGCTTCAAAGGCATTATTACAGATTTCCCTCTTCCCATTTTCTAAGGCATTCCGTAAGTCTTAGGAAGGGCACAGGAGAACATCATAGCTGCTTGAATTGACAGAAGTATTCATGTTTTGCTAAGCTGTATGTTAACCCACATGAAGTGATTGTCTGACAGGTTCAGTTGCTTACCATCGCTCCAACCTGCCTTCTTCCATAATCCATAAACCAAGCCAACAGGCCTTGATTTTTGCATTGAGCACAGGATTTTTGAAAGTTACCTATTTCCTAACAAGGATGAAACTCCAGTGATACCACACTTCAAGTTTTATCTACAAACATTAAACAACACTGGTATTTCAATGCAAGTTATTGTTATATAATTGCTCACGCTACAGACCAAAAGCAAGATATTTCTTGTGACTTTAAGAGACAGTGGCCACAGTGTCAGTAACAACTAGTTCATTCCAAGGAAAAACTAAACAGTTGAGATTAAGGAGGACAGTATTGTTCAAAGTTGGGTGCATAAAGACACCATTTCAAATTGAAGTTACAGGCAGTGAAGGACTACCTGACAAAGGTAACCAATTGTTACAGAAGCGTGCTGTTCACTTTAGAAGTACGTGCCAAAGTCAATTTCTGTAGATTCTTTTCTCCCTGTGATAGATCCAAGTAATGTACTTGATCTTCACTTCCTTTTTCTACCTTCTGTATTTCTAGGGCTGGAAGCAGTAAGAAAAAACCCTCTCCTTTCCATTACGAGTATCATCATCATCCTGATGCAGGAGCATAAAAAAACTGTCGTAACACTTACACGAAGAAGCTCCTTTAGTTGCCTCTCACTGCAGAAAATAGGAGCTATTGTGAACCAAGTATCAAATGCAAAGGGAGACCAAGTGAGGGTCATCTTAATTAATTTTGAGTACACTATGGACTGATATTCAGAAAAAGCCTGTGCAGGATCAGGTGCAGGAAACAGTGAGCAAGCTACACTGCCTAGTAATGCAGAGCAGAAAGCTAATAAGGCAACCTCTGTACTAAGTTCCCACAGTCAGAGCTGAATGAAGACCGTGCAGCCACAACAACATGAAAAAAGTAGGTTCCCCCTACTACACGTTCATCTTCACCAATGTTCACAACCCTCCCCAATGCTGGACCTAGTGACTGTATCACACTGTCTGGATGTTTCCAAGTGAAAACAAAACCTGAAGAGAGCAGAAGGGAAGGTAAGAACACCGGTTTTGAGTTAGCAAAAACTGCACAACTTCAGATTGGCTTCAGCTCCAGACTAGTATTTCCCAACTACAGAGCTCATCTGAAGTTCCCAGGGAGGGAAAATTATCATGCTAATGCACTTGCCTTTTCTTGTTCTGCTGTAGTTGCCCAGAAGAGGGTAATACTGTTGACCTACTTGACAGCACCAGTAGCAGTATATTATGCTGGTTTTTGGGTTCTCATTAACGCTTAAACTTCCAGTGGAGCAAAGTGGTCCAAGGTCTGAAATGCTGTCCAGACCTTCACATGCTAGTGCTAAACAAAGAGCTATTACATAAAAACTGCCCACTGACTTAATTCTAACATACCAGGCATGCAATACTGAGTGCACTAAATCTATTAAAAATAAATTAAACAGCTGAGGTAGAAAATGGTATCAAAATTATGAAGCAGAGAATAAAAGAAAAGGTAGTTCCTTACTTTTGCTTCCCATTCCATTCCAGCAACAGAAATACCCAGCAATATAACCACTGTTATAGCCCCTATGATTCTGATATCATTCATTTCATCAACCATCAATGTTCCATTTTCCTAACAAAACAAACAAAAAAATAGTCATATACTTTAACAAGTACTTATCTTCCCTACTGCAGAACAGCATTTTATTGACTATAGTTAACCTCTATACCACAAATTTATTCATTTTAAATTCCCTGTATGTACACAAGTAATTTGGCTTTTGCCTTGTTTTAAATCACTGAATATTCTAAACAGAAACGATCATTCCTAATCATAGCCCATCCCCAGAGAGAACTTCCTGTCCTCCAACTGACAAATAATACCTGGTTGTGTTTAACTTCAGGAACTGTTTTTAATCAACAGAACTCCTTTGAAAACAAGCTTAATGTAAGTGATAGCCATTTTTAAGAAACAGTTCACTAATAATAATCTCAACATTAACAACTTATGGTTCTGTGTCGCGTATCTGTAGCGCCACCCTTCTCCTCAACAGCGAGCTTGGACTTTACCACAAATTATACATCTTTTTTTCAGGGAGATACGCAGTGTGGGAAGTTTCCACTTGACACCAATGATAATTTGCTTTTTAGCAAAAAGTTACTGAATTACAGTAGTATTTTACCTATGTATCAGCAATCACCTTGTATCTCATTCCATGTCTTTGCACTGGTCAGGGCAACCCCCAGTGTCAATACAGCCTGGGGGATGAAGGGATTGAGAGCAGTCCTGCAGAGAAGGACTTGGGGGGTACTGATGGATGAAAAGCTGGACATGAGCCAACAACATGTGCTCGCAGCCCAGAAGGCCAACCGTATCCTGGGCTGCATCAAGAGAAGGGTGGCCAGCAGGTTGAAGGAGGTGATTCTGCCCCTCTACTCTCCTCTGGTGAGACCTCACATGGAGTCCTGTGTCCAGCTCTGGAGCCCAGAGGAGGGCCACACAAATGATCAGAGTGTGGAACACCTCTCCATGAACAAAGACAGAGATAGTTTGGGTCGTTCAGCCCGGAGAAGAGAAGGCTCCACAAACACCTTATAGCAGCCTTTCAATACTTAAAGGAGGCTTGTAAGAAAGATGGCGACAGGCTTTCTAATAGGGCTTGTAGAGACAGGACAAGGGGTAATGGTTCTAAACTAAAGGAGGGTAGATGTAGACTAGACATAAGGAAGAAATTTTTTACAATGAGGGTAGCGAAACACGGGCACAGGTTGCCCAGAGAGGTAGTGGAGGCCCCATTCCTTGAAGCATTGAAGGCCAGGTTGGACGGGGCTCTGAAGCAACCTGACCTAGCTAACAATGTCCCTGCACATCGCAGGGAGATTGGGCTAGATGGCCTTTAAAGATCCCTTCCAACCCAAACCATTCTATGATTCTACGATTAAATGACAGCTCAAAGTTGCATAAAGGACTGTGTAAGCAATATAATCACTAACATCCATATACCTTAAGTAGCTCCACAACTGTCTCTGCAAAGCCAACAACATACATTGCTACTGCAACAGCATTGGCAAATGCAAAAATCAGACCTATGGCACCACCAAACTCTGGCCCCAGACTTCTGGAAATTAAGTAATATGCTCCTCCTGAAAGAAAAAAAGAAAAGACAAAAAACCCCACTACGTGAAAAAGCCTAAGAATAGACAGTCATCAGCAATTTAAAGTGTACATGAACAAGACGCTATTTATTCTTGCATCTTCCCTGATGTATGAGAACATAACCCAAAACTCAGTATTTTAGGGACACGCATGCTGAAGTTTCAGACACACATTTCAAGTTTTAATGAAAAGACACGAGCTGGAAACAATCACCTGACTTTTGCACCACACCATAGTATTCAGCTATGTAACTAGTTCTATGGTTAAAAACAAACTGTAAAACACAAGCAGCAGGATTAATGGGCTTTTATTTCAAACTACTCTAAGCATTTGTGCATAGTTCTACTATTACACATTTTCATTACCTATAGCTCAAGAAACTGGCCAAGTAGACTGTAATAAATCCACCGAAGTTCCAAACCTCCATGACGTGTCTCTTAAGGCTCTGTTGTTACGGGAATTTTCTGCCCTCGAATGCGACTCTCAAAACAGTCACATGGCCACTCTATTTTTCAGAACCTATTCTTTGTGTTTTGAACTTGACCAATACGACATCTCAATCACAATACGAAACAAACAGAAAACTGAGTATCTACAGCATTAAAGAAGAGGAAAATTTTCAAAATCTACCAAAGGCACATTCCTCCAGTTTAAGGCTAAGCTTTCTAGCAGTAACAAAATCTTCCAGCTCCAGTCTGAAGTAATTGAGTGCACATTAAAAATCCGCAACAGGAAATCCTTAATTTCACTGCCTTACAGTTCCTGTGCAAAACCTATGTAGGTACCCAGCTTTGACATATTTTGCAAGAATGTTAACGTAAGAAAAATATCGCTGTAATATAAGATTTTCATAAGAACAACTGTGATTTTATTCTACAGTTCTTCCCATTCAGCACTTCAAATTTCCTAATGAACTATTACTTTGCAAGTAATAGTTCCAAAAAAAAAAAATATGGCTCTCATAAGAATAGGAAAAATCTATACGTATAACGCAATTTTAAAAAGAAAGTGCATTTAGAAACTAAGCTTGACATAATGCTAAGATTCATAGCTGACACAAAGTAAGAAGACCCAATGGGATGTGACAGTGAGGTTTTTCTCTGCACTTTAATCAAGAGAATTTTATGAGCTTCTATTTTAATTCCACCACATTTTCTACTAGTAGCAGTCTTGTAATATCATGAAGCAGTTTGAGCATGTCAAAGGCATCAAACACAAAACTATTCTGTAGAATTGCTGACAATAGCACACAAACCAAGAAAGAGAACAAAAACCATCACCCTCAGGAAATCTGGAGATAATCAAAAGTTTGGAGAATTTCTTTTGTGTATTGAAAAATCATGACGGAACAAGAATATGTGCTTTAGCATGCTCTCATATAGAGTTACCTTATCCTCTTATAGGATGCATTTTTTCATTAGTAATTTTTATTTCAGGACATGAACACATACAAGCACACATGCACACTCTTAACCAACCAGTGCAGATGCAGGAGAATATTAAGACCCTATTCATTCCTGGCTATGTCTCTCTAAAAATGTTTGTATTCCAAAAATTAAGAATAGATAATGTTTCTTCCACAGTGGAAAAGCAAGCCACTAGTCAAGTCAAATCTGTAGGCTGATTACTGACTTCATTAACTACATGACTGCTTAGTCAAATACAGAACATAGAGAAGACTCTGCTCCTCAGAGAACCAACCCTTACTTTCCATCCATACTATTTTTTCCCTGACGCTAAAAAAAGAAGGAAAATAAATTAGAGGTTCCATCCTTAAGGTGTACGCTTCTTTATGAAAGTACGTTTACCTCCTCTTACAAACCCATTTGTGGCTATTGCTGAAGTAGATAGTCCTGTAATAGTTGTCACAACAGTGGCCATTCCAATAACCAAGACAGACAGACCTTTTGGAAAGACAGGGGGAGAAAGGTGTTAAGTCCAGTATTAAAGGGGACAAATCTTCAGCTTAACTTGTTTTACAGAATTAGTCTTGCAAACACAACACAGATTTACTGTGTGTGGTCCCACACATTCAAGCAAAAGGCTTCTTCACTCCCCTTTTGTACAGAGAAGCTTCCAGGATACAAACAAAATTGGATAAATGTTCTCTTTAATCAGAAGGGTAAAAGCTGTATCCTAAAGCTTCAAGGAAACATGTCTTTTGCAGAGGAGAGATTTTCTGCAGTCCAATACTAAGCTAAGCCTTTCACGAAAATTGTTCATATACTACACAGTCTACATGCATTTTAATAATCAGATCAAAAGCTTATCTCTACAGTTCACTGAAGACTTACAAATGTCAATTTTAAATTACATACCTTACAGCTAAATGAAAATGTCTAAGTAACTTCATACTGCTTAACATTTTTGTAATGGTAAATTACCTTAAAAACTGGTAATACTAAGGTCATTTTCTACCCCTGTTTGAAGTGCAAGCTCAGGATCAACACCTCTTTTCGATCACATTTAAAAGTCATATAAATTAAATCCTAGCATTAGTACACGTACCTATCCCAGCTTGTCCTACAATCCATGATAGTCTGATGAAGAGCATCACACCCCAAATATTTAACATACATCGTACCTAAGATAGAACAGAAATTTTACATAGGTTAGGTCTTATATCTGCAGTCATTTCCAGTAATTCTTCATTTCAGTTTTTAATGTTGTCAAAATTATCTTGCAGTCTTTTCTCACCACTTTTCAAATTATTTCACAAGAATAGATTTTTTAATTGGACAAATTAAGATTCGACTGAAAAAAATAAAAGGAAACCTAAATATGATTTAGAATTTACTACCTTGAACTTGGATAGTTATGGTACTTCAATATCTGACACTTGCAGCTTGTCTTGACCAAACAATAAAAATAAATAACTTAGACTCCAACCCTTAGGAACCAAAATTTATACTACTGGATACATGACTAAAAATGAGATTGTGAGGTCTACAATGATTGTGAGATCTGCAACCCCAGTTAGAGATCTCCCACAAATCTCCCCCAAAAATGCACTAAAACAATATCCTACGAAATAATGTATTATTTTTTAAAATACAAAGAAATTCCACAATGTCCCAGTCCTAGAACTTTTGTATCTTATAATATAGCTGCATAGGGGCAGGGAGTGGTGGTTTTCATTTTTTTACCCCTGTATTTTAAACTCTTAGTTCTCAACAGAGTTTGCACTGTACAGCATTTAGACAGAAAGCTAACAGCAGGTCAGATCTCTCTCCTACCTAAAGTGTATGATATCAGAAAGTTTTCAGAGATTTAAAAAGTCTTTTGCAAAATGTAAATTACCCAAGCTGGAAATACTCACCCAGGGAGTTCATGCCTACTAGGAAACACTAACGGCACCATTCAAATCACTGAAAAGGAGTTCATCCTCCTTGAAACTTTTAAGCAGACTTCGAAACAAAACTGTCAGCAACATTTATCTCGTAACTCTTTAATACTTGGAATTGCTGCTTAGAAAAACAGTCCAATACAGGATCTGGGTTCCGAGAATTTCAAAGTCAGCTTCACACCTGCTTTAAAATTAACAACTCTGTCCTTCGTTGGGGTACGTCAATAGAAGTCTGTAATACCCTTTTCATGGCTACCACAGGCACGGTCCTTCTCCCAAGGTAGAGAGTGTGGCTAGTTCAAGACTTGAAAGGAAGCTGCTAATACACAGTGAAGCTTGCTGAGCTGAAGTTAGGTATTCTGAATGCTCAAGTTCAACATGTTTTATCCAATTATTTCATTTGCAGGCAACACAATAAATTCTTACAGCTTTGGAGAGTATGTATTAGTAACTGTTTCTCTTTGCCAAAGTAATAAAAATACGTTAATATGTACTTATAATAAAATTTCCCCATGTCATCCTTAATTTTTCACTACTCCAAATTGGGACAGACTCATTTTTTTCCATGACAACTATGTTGTATTTAGTGTTAAGACTTTCACAACTTAGGAGAACACGACTTCTTGTAACAGGTTCAACAAAATTTAAATACTTAATCCAGGTCAACTTTTGCCATATACAGGTAGGTACTCTCCCCAACACAGTATTGATTACTTCTCTGAAAAATAAAAATTAAGTTTTCTAACACTTTAGTCCAAAACTTCATAGATCCAAAGTGAACACACATTGTCTATTCTCTCCATCTGCATTTGTCTTTGTCCCTTACAATCTATATGTAGTTTCTGTATATTTACATAATCTCTTTCCTCTTTGAAATTATGCAATTTCAAAACTATAAAACCTGAGCTAAGAAACCATGATCCCTTAAATCCTGAAGTACTTACTTCCTTATAATTCATAACAAGAGCAACCCTTCCTAAAACTAGGACATTTTTCCACATCTCATACCCATAATCTTTCCTTTATACAGGACTATCACAATCCCTCTCAAAACAGAAGGTTATTAGAAAGATCATACCTGTAAGAAACTGAAGTACAATGCATCAAACTTACCAATACACCTTTTATCCAGCCAAACTTGACCACCCCTTTGCTATCAGGTGCATAAGTGGCAGCTGCATCCCCAGCTGGTGTGCCTTCTTCACCATTTGCATACCCATCTTCAAATGGTTCCTTGGGGAAAAAAAAAAGTTTATCTTCTATGTGATTAACAGAGTAGAGAGGTATTTGATACTCACATTGTAAAAAAATGTGTCTACTTGTGCAAACAGAAAAGTTAAACAATGACACAGCAGAAGTTTTATGCTTTTCCCTTATGATCCTTGTATGAGGCATATTCACAGTCTTCAAAGAATATAAACCAAACTTACACAGATGACTTCGGTATTCTGCTTCAGTTAGAGCAAATTGTTAGCAGTCACAGTAATAAATATTTTGAAGAATCTGTTTGACAGCCCTAAGAAACAAATGTCTGGTCTTTCAGAGAAAAGCTACAAGATTTCAAATGCAGTGACCTCTACAGCACAGGAAGTTTTCTTTCTTAATCTGAAAGCGTACACTGTTCTGCCATAAGTTACTACTCTCAGCTATAGCATTTCCTGTAGTTTCGACTTAGCTGTTGTTTGATGAATTTTTCAGGAAATAAATTATTCACTTCCCTGCAAACTATTCTACTGTTCACTGTAAGGCGATGCTGCTAGAAAGGAGGGTAGGAGAGTGGCATTTCAAGGAGAAGGAAGGAAGTGAAGTCTCTTCCCACACACTGTCCCTCTCTAAAAGGGAAGGATGAGAGATGCAGAAAACATCAGTCCCATGGACAAAGACCAACTTGTAGCTTTTCTTTACAATTCAGCTCTCAGCCTTATAATGTAGAAATCTTAACTGTTCGATATATATTAAAAATATATGTATACTTATTGCATGCTTGCAAGAGGCAGCTTTGTTTTGCCAAGCCAGGCAAACACCTAAACATTTAAACTCAAATATTTCCTATGCTTGCTGTAAGAAATCTGCAGGAAGCACTCTAACCAAAGTATGTTAGTTATCCAAGGCAACAAGTATAAAGAATGAATATACTAAAAAGACCCTGAATACCATTCAGAGAATACTATTCAGCAGACTAGCTCAAGCAGTATTTGTGAAGCAGCCTGCATCCCAGAGGGCTTACAAAACATTTAAGCAATTAGAGGTTCACTCCCAATGAGGTAAAAGGCAAAAATCCCATTCGCTAAATAATACACAAAATAGCGTAATAGCAAAATTATGCTTTCAAGAAGTATGGTCCGTGATGAAGGGACACAGTAAGAAAGTTTAATGTGAGATACTTGATTAAACTCCTCCTTCTCTTGATGCATTAATACCAAATATGCTGTCAGCAGAGAGTCCAGAGGAAATATTTATAGAACGGTAACTTATGAATTGTGTCATACATATTCCCTTACAATCAGTAGTAAACATACAAACAGATGAAAAAAAGAAAAACCAGATTATGTCAATCTTATTCAAGGGTCATTAGCACAGATTCATGTCAGTGCTTCTCCCACTAACTTTGTATTATGAAATTCTCATAAAAACAGGTGCACCTGCAACACATCTGGAAATCCTGTATGGCATAAGCTTTCCACCAGTAGGCAGAACCATTATCAGTTTGCAGATCATTACCTTTAACAGATAGCTTTCTTAAATAGCAGGTTTTCCGGTCTCCAGAAGGGATTAAAAAAGAGAAATTATCTGGTTTGATGAACTGCAGCTCCTCTTGATAGAAAAGAACAAATGGCTGTAACTTCTTGGGAGATTTGCACAGCCTCTGACCAATGAATCTATTGATTTGGTGATTATTTGTATTCAGGCACTCAAACCAAAGCAAGCAAGAAGTGGCGCGTGATCCATTTAGGGTGGTAAGAACAACAGTCACATTTATTATCTAAGCAGTTTTTATGTTTTGGCCAAGAAAACTGCCAAAATTTGATAACATCTTCCAGTATTACAAAAAGGCACATCATACGCCAATGAAAAACAATAAAATTGTTCATTGAAAAGACTGTTCAGGAAGGATCAAGGAAGGGCTACAAGAAATTTCTATCTTCATGTCTTAAAATACTTAAACATTATGCGTGACTAAAGTAATTCATGCTGTAATACTGAGTCACAACATTTTTTTTTAACAAACTAGAAGCATTCGTTTACTCCACTTTTAGGTTTTAAGAGAAGGTGGAGAATATTCTAGTATCTAGTTTAAGAGACAATTATATACTTCAGCATACGACCATGGCTAGCCAGGTATTGGTAGAACCTGCACACACTGACAAGATGACCTCCAGAGGTCACTTCCAACCTCAACCATCATGCGATAGCTACGCAGTTTACTACAGTGCCTAAACAAGCCCATAGCTCAGCCTGTTGTATTCTGGGAAGGAGATAATGGCTCGCAACCGGTATTTGCAGTTATCAGTTACCAGATCAGCTTCAAGATATGCACACTATGAACACAAAAAAAGTTTTGTTCTGCATGCCTTGTCTCTCCACACTATGCAATATTTCTTAGGAAAATATTTTGAAGCACACGCAAAATGTAATAACTGGAAGGTTATTGCTGGTTATCAGTGCTAGTGGGTGCCTGAGAGTGTGGGCACAAAAGAATTCCACTCCACAAGGCTCCAAGTTCAGCTCTTCAATGCGAGATTAAGAAACCACCACTGTGGTCTCAGCTGTAAATAAAGCAGGCATAGTATTATTCATGCTTGTGCTCATGGGGAAACAACGCTTCTACTCAAGTCACATACTGAATGGAAATGAACACACTAGCACTATTTTAGAACAGCCATACATGTACGACAAGATCTTCACAAACAGTAAAAAACACTAACACACTGTGGATTTGGAGGGGGTGTAACAACAGGGGAAAGAAAATAGAAGTTTTTAGCATTTCAGACCAGAAATGCTTATTAATACATCTTTTTAATCAAAACAGTGTCTTTTATCTCATCAGCCCAAAGAACACTCAAGAGTTATGGTGTTCACTTGAACTGCTTATGGAAAAATAAGATATATTTACACATTGACAATTCTATCATACACTGACAGGAATTTAGCCAAGAAACACTTAAATTCTGTTCCTATACAGAAACTTCCAATGCTGTATCACAGTGCACTGAAAAGTATAGATAATCTACTATTTTGTTTCCAGTACTACATCATAACAGTAAGTTATTTGTGCCAATTGTGAATAGCCTCCACATTTATTAGAAGTGGATTAGTAATGAGAAAAGACTTGTTAGCCAGAAGAGATCTGAGATTTTTCACACACAGCTTGAAATACACTGGCGCACAGAAAAGTTTCTCATTGGTAAAAATTGCTATTTAGTTGTACTGAGAGTTCTTGACAGTGGTGTATGTCATGCAGCACACTTATCTGTGGTAAACTTATCTAGATCTCATCTTAAAGGCAACATACTTAGGCTATGTTGAACTATACGAGGCAGGACCAGAACACACACCAACTCTTGCTTCTTTTCAAGTACTACAACATGGAAGCCCCATGTAAAGAACAGGACAATCAGCAAGTTTGTATCTAAGACTACATGCTACTCCTTCAGGCAGACCACTTTCTTTGCAGTGTGCCCGATCTGCCATGTCCCAAGCAGTAATGAACTCCTTTAGCTAATCCTTCTTCTTGAAATTACTCTTGTGCAGAGACAAGGCCAAAGAAGCACCTGACATTAGAGCTCTTTTTCCACCTCTCATGTTTGAACAGTTAGGGGTTTAGCAATGCCATACAGTATGGGCTTCTCCTCACACATATTCCTTAGCAAGGCTTCACAACAGTAGCTTTTTCTTGTCCTAGTAGAATACAGTACTGAAGCTGGTTTAAATAGCAAATCCTAATATCAAAATGCTAAAGAAAATCAAGAGCCTCGTCTTTTCAAGCTCCAATTTTTTCAAGTAAACATAAAAAATGGCTTTCCACCACATTTAATCAAGAGAACAGCTGCTTACATTTAAAACTGCTTTTACTTAAGATATTCTGATACTGAGCATGGTGCTCTCAACATTTAATATGCTCACTGAGGACAGGAAACAAGGGAAGCTGCCCAAAAACCATCTTTTACCAACAGAGGTACCGACAGAACAGTTCTGTACACCAATGGGGCTCTGTCCTCACCAGCTACAGCCGAAGCCTCAACAACGGGATCATGCTTTTACCTGCTAGGAGCTTTGGGTTAGAGATGTTTGCAGCAATCATCATGGACAGTGGAACCTTTCTTCACAAGTTGCAAGAGACTTGCACACATCTTCTGCACTCCTTCACTGCAGCTTCCAGCATTACTGCCAAGCTGTTTACTACACCTTACCATAACAATTTCTTGTCTCCACCTCCAAAAGGTTAACTTTATAAGCGTCGCCATTTTTAAGAAATTCTTTTTTATGGAAGGAAGCAATCAGTAAATTGTACTGATCCAGATGCAGCACATCAGCTGTCTCAACAGTGGAAGAATCATTACTTGTAGAGATCATACTCCTAAATAGCCCAACCTTATAGCTGCACACAGTTAAGACTACAGCTACTCAAGTCCAAAACTTTACAGTACAGAAGATATTCAGAGTTAACAAAGCTCAAAACATACATGGAAGAAAAGTTTTGGTTTTGCTTTTCTAATTCAAACACAAAGAAAGTTATCAAACAGCAGCAGAACCTCTAAACATTTTGTCCCAGAAGATGCTAACACTTCTCACGATTTTTAAAGACTACAAACCTTTTCTTGGGTGAGCAAGCCTTCCACTTTGCCTTCTGGAATAAACTTCCAGATTCTTCTTTCCACCTCACCTGTACCATTTCTAATGATCTCAATAAAACGTTTAAAACGTGCTAGAGGTATTGTATGCATAGAATAACTGCACAGAATAATCCTGCTGGTGTAGGTGTTTACCTCTGATGCAACAGTGACAACTTTTGCAAAAAAATTGTACTGGTATAAATATATTTAAGTGTGATACTGTACTACCAAAGAACAAGCCAGCTACTACATGCTGACTGTAGGACACTAAACCATATCAAACACAACTGTTCTTTAAACACTGCTTTTGCAGCATGCTAACATCTGCAGTCATAAAATTCCCAGTTTGTGCCTAAGGGTCTTTGATTAGCTGTTTTTATGTTTTAATGCTTTTGTCTAGCTAGTGGTGAAAGAAACAAAGAGCACTGAGTTTCCTGTCTAAGTTTCTACGGAACGGCTCCCAGCATCCTGTTGTCCAGGGACATAAGAGGGTCCTGGGATTAACACTTTATCAAGAAGAGTCTCAAATTTGATTGCCTGAGTGACAACACAAGGTATTTCAGTACTTAAATATGCAAGAGGAAAAATAAGTTCTCACCAGTCCTTGACTCGATCTGGTGACACCGACTATTGCTTGTCACCATTTTTTCAACCAATCACTGTTCAAAACGGTTAAGATACCATTGTTAACTTTGCACTGTAGACCAAAAACAAATATAGCGAGTTTTTAATACTAGGTTTGAAAAACATCTCTGCCAGTTAAGTGTTTCTTCTAAGGGAAATGAACAGATCTAATAGGGAGATAGTACTGTAGGTAATTACTTCTACAGTATCTTACTCTACATAACACTGTCTTAACAACCAGTACTGGCACAGACAGTCTATTTTGTAAATCAGTAATACTAGCAGTACTGTTGTTGACAAACAGCTATTTTCTTCTCCATACTGATCTATTTCAGAAGTGCTAACCCTAAAGCTTTGTTGGATATCCTCACTGCTTTCATTTATGCCCAAATTAATTTACCTAAGCCTCCCTACCATTAAAACCCCAGAACTATACAGTAAATATCAATACCCAAACCTGACTAAAAAAGGCAATTTCCCATTCAGACCTATCAAATAACGCAGAAGAATCTTGTTAGACCTGGGAACCGGAAACTAACAAAACTGAAACTCAACCCCAATGAAAGTAAAGTAAGAAGGGAAAAAAACAGATGCTGTGTACATCTCTCACTTCCCTTCAAAGAACTCTTTTTCTGGCCTGCCCTAAATACTTTCAGAAAACTATCACCTTGTTACACAGAAAAGACTGTAAAACCAGAAAAATAATTCCATAGTGAGTAAATCAAGAAAAAATTAAATCTTTAGTACACCTCAACTTTAAATGCTGCATGCAGTTCTAGTTCTTCCCCACTAGACCTCTGCTGTGATAGGGATGCAGACAAGGTTACCATGAGTTCGTATGGAAATAAAGAACTAGTGTGCCCACCTCTCAATTAATGGTTCATAACAGCCCTCATTCCAATGAAAGAGCAGTGAAAGTGCAAATTCTAAAACTGACAGTAGGTTACCACTTTCCACACCTTAATTACTTCACTAATTTACATTTTACCAACAGATGTAATGTCTGATCATCTGGTACTTCAAACAGAGTAGTAATCCAAGAGAACAGTTACCTTTCACTTAAAGATTGCTACTCCTAGCAAGTAGCTTCCACAGACACCCAGAACGGTTTACAAATTCCTGATAATTCGTTAGTTAGAAACAGGTTTGTCAAGTTAGCAAAACACATTCAGGTGTTCAGGTTTTTCAGGAGATAGATGGGAAGCTTGAGTGATCAGTATTGCTACCAGTGGGAAAAACCCGTCAGATAGCACATACAAAAGAAAACACGGTAGAAGACATGTTCAACACATCTCAGTCTGCCTAAACACTTTCTTAGCATTTTCTTTAAAAAATAAATTCAAAACACACACTTTCAGAGAACATTGCTAGCCATTGTGCAATGACTAGCTGTTGGTGGCAGTTCAGAAGAGTCAGCAGTCTTATTAGGTACTTCACTGCTTGGTTTTAAATCACGAATAAATTCTAGCAAATTTGCTAACGGAACTTCTAATTCCCACTCCTTGTTTAAAGCATATGTAAAATGTTGCTACTATACTGTGGTTCTAGTACCTTTACAGTTATAACCTAAAAAAAGCCTACTAACCCATTAAATGGCACCCAGGTGTTACCTACAGCAACAGGAGATAAATTACCCAAATATAACATGATCTGTTCTTAAAACTCAGGATTCCTTGGAATCAAACATGAACAGCCTCAACCATTGGTTACTCACCTCAATCAAAGGAAATCCTTTTCAGGTTTGCAGCCAAGAGACCAAAACTTAAGTGCTTTGGCTATATTATGTTCTCTACAATTACACGTTTACTTCCAGAGATTTTAAAAGAGATTGCATCAAACACAGAATGTTAGCGTTATCTTAAGCTGAAATTAAAAGTCTGTTGTACTTTGATTACAGCAGAACAATTTTAAACAGAAGAAATTTATAGTTACAATTAACAGCTGAAGAACTAGCCAGCTACATCTCTGCCATCAGCTTCTATTTCAGTGTCTTGCAACTCAATACTGCTTTAACGGAGAAACATTAAGCAACACTTTTTCTTGTGTGTGTGCATGTATACATAGATATATTCTGGTTTTAAAAGCCATTTTTACTTTAATTCTTTTAAAGGGATAGAGAATCATCTATTCTTCCTCCCAGGTCTCACAAGTAGTATGGTGTATTAACCAGGCTAGCAAGACTGTTAATCAAGAAACTTACTCAGGCAATTAATTTCAGCTTAGGAGTAAATCATTATCCTTGCAAGGTGGCATATTTCCTATCTATATACACATATCCTTACAAAGGATAGATAGGAGCCTTGTTTATAAAGCTCACTACTACATAAAGTCTTACCTACATACAATTTTTTTGACTGATCTCTAAGCTTACTAACCACACAAAGGCTACAGACTTTTCTCTTTAAGGAGGTGATTACGATCCTCCGCTCCTAACACGGGATGGATACAAATTGTAGTCTGGTAGACTTTGCGCTTGAAGGAAAAGGTCTGGAATCAACTGAGCAATGAAGCAACAGCAAAACTGCCCATACTTGAGAGTCCTCTTAATTGGTGAAAACAGACACAACCTGATCGTTGAGTGATCCTGATGAACTTGATTTTCATAGCAGTATTCCACAGCCACTAACCTGTCACGTCACTTAAGTAATCCAGGCATTAGAGCATTGCATAATATTCCAAGTGTGGTCTCATCCCATCCTCTATCTGCTTTCTCTACTGCATGACCACGAATTTTGAGTTTTCAATGCTTTACAAGCAAAAAATTTCAATGCTTTCCTAAGCACCACATTGAAATAAAGTCTCTCTCAAGGCAGATTACCAATCAGTGCCTCTGGAAAGGGTGATAGTGTCAATGCCATTTGATCCAGTTGTCACTGATATCAGAATAGGAAGTTCAGATTCAAATCTTTGCATTCCTAACAGACAAGGACTAGATACACTTACAGAAGAAAAAATTGTAGAGGTAAGCACTTAAGTCCAGACAGTCATGCAAAGTCAGAGATTTGAAAGCCTACAGCCAGTATGGTGTGACCAGATGCAATCCTTTCAAGCAGTTTTTACACATGACATGGTAGCAAAGTTTTGTTGACATCTGCAGATATGCAAGGGCAGTATCCTATCTGAAATGCAGTAAGTATTTTTTTTCCTCTGTATCAAACACAAAGAACAAGAGCATTTTGCAAAAGCATCAAGATAAAGAAAAGTCTCTACACGTTCACGTCTTGATTCATGCACCCCTCTAAGTACAGCATGATACGAATACTCTGGGCAAGCTGATTTGGAGAATTAAGAGAAAAATGAGAGAAGACCTCTGTTCAGCAGCTCTGCAGTGTGACTGCCCCATGGCAGACCCACACTGCTCACATTCTGCACTCCCAGAAATACTGTATGCAAAGTCAGGCCTTTCTGTCAAGGAATACTCAACACGGTCTGACACCACTACAAAAACAAACAAACAAACAAAAACCACCACCACAAAACCACAAGCTTCCTTTGCCAGTCTCTCCACTTCTAGTTAACAGGAAATTGCACTATTAACATCTAGTCACAGAAAAGGAGGCATGACTTCCTGCACAACACAAGTGTAGGGGCAACCAATCCATCAGCCTAAGAGGAAGAAATACGTGATCTACTTCACTCCTCAAAAATACACATCAGTTTTGGCTTTGATGGATGACTCCTTTCCTGCCCCCTGCAGAATCAAACTACTAGTTTCCCTACTGCACCAACTAGTTGATCTTTCCAGAAGAACCATTGTACTGTCAATGATTACCAATGCGCTACTTCATCACTGTGCACTGACCATCGTTTTTCTTTTGCTATCCATCGGTATGAAAAGAGAAATCACAGTTCTAATGAAAACAGATCCAGGCTCTGAACACAGGTAGTTTTCAGTTGATTACCTGAAAAAACATAACCCTGGTACACCTCTAATGGTTAGAGATCTTTTAAGTGTTTCATATAATTTTGTTGTTCCCTAGAACAAAGCAGATGCAGCATTTGATTGCATGAGTTGAATTAAATCCTCTTAGCCAGCCTCTTGCATAGCAGTTTTGTATATCCAAGTATAGTCCAAGAAATTCAATGTTCTGTAAATAAGTAGGAAAATGAATCTGTTTCACTCTTGCTCAAGAATTTGTTTTCAACACAGCAAATTCCCAAGCCTTCTTCTATATTCCACCCCCCAAAAAGGTTACTTTAAAGCATTCTTGCTTTTAAAACCTTTCAGTTTTAATCCACTTCTGCAAAACACAATGATGCATTTTCCATTCAAGAGGTGGGAGAGCAAGTACACCACACTAAACAGCAGTAACTTCAATAAAACTTACTGTTTTAATTAGAAGTCTAGTTCTAAGTGTAGTAAGTTTAAGAAAAATTACATTTAACCCACTATATTACAATAGACTAAACAGCCTATTCAAATAATCTTAAAAATCAATTAAGTACCGCCTGAATTTTTAACGTCATGCCACGAAGTGGTGCATAAAGCCACAGGAACAGCCCCCAAGCCAGCACTGAGCAGACCTGGTACATTCATGCAGCACAGTATTTACTTGTATTGGCACAGCACTACATTCAAGCCAAAGCTGCCAGACCGCTTAGAGCTCAAGAGCAGTATTACTCAGAATATCTCTTAGGCATGTCTGTACCATGTAAACATGTAAGCCCTCAGGTAAGTTGAGGCACTGCCCCAGCATCAGTTTCTTTACAGCTGAAACAGATGTCGCTATTTCCTTTGATTTAAAAAAAAAAAAAAGAAAAGAATAATCTGAAGTAGGAGCACTTCATTTGAAGAAGTGAAGCTAGCTAGCAAAATGAAGATGCAAAAGATAAGCTTGTTTACGGAATTTTATGAATTTTTTCACTTTTGTTGTTTTAATCACTGCATCCTTAAGTCTGGAGTTTATTAGGCGCAGATAATGCATCTTCTTTATTTCTATGTACAAAAACTAAGTAAGTTTCGGGCTTAATCAGCATGCTGAGGCATAGAAATAAATCAAAAGTTCCATGCGCTCAAGCTGCGAGAACTGGACAGCTTCCGAAATACTGAAAGGCAAACTACTCTAAGTCAACAATTTTAAAAAAATTCTTAGTAGTGAACAAGCCACCACATTGAGACTGCTATTACCTATATCAAAAAGGAAGAGAAAATGGGTTTGTGATTGCTTATGTATGAATGCTACGTGGGGCTTTTGGAAAAAAATCTGAAGGACGCAACAGAAGATGTAGTATACTGGTTTGAATTACTCCAAGATACTGATCTTGCCAACCGACTCCTCTGCAAGAATGTTCTTCAAGAATGAAAATCATTTGAGGTCTAATCAAATGCAGTACTGAAACCAAAAAAGTTAATCTGAAGATGAAGATTAATTCTGCAGCACCTTCCTCTTTAACCAGTTCTGAAACTGCATATGCTGAAAGAAAAGCTGCGTAGCTAGAGAGAAGTTATTGCTATGCTTTCAGGTTTTGGTCTTGAACTAGTGATTGATACTAACAATATGTCAGCTAAGATAAATATAAAAAACAAAACAAAGCATAAGCTCCTCTGAACAGGCACTCCCTCCTTCCTTCCTTCCCTAGATCAACTCTTCTGGCAAATTACAATGCCTTTTTTTCTGACTTGAGCACTCCAGCAGTTCACAGTGCATTGCAGTGGTCTCCAAGGGGTGCACAAGACAGTCCATTGGGAACACGGGAATAAAATAATTTTTGTCACATTAATAAAGTACAAAAAGATTTCTGAAACTGTTTATTTCAACTTTATCTCATGCTTTAATTTTTATTTTGCACCATACACAATTTTAGTGCAGTAGTACATGTCATAAGTAAATAATATATATTAGGGGTGCATGCTTATCACTGTGCTTGTTAAACATTTTCCTCTTAAGTGATAACTCAAAAACTGCAACATTCAAGAAAATACAAATCAGAGCCAGAAAGACAAAGAAATTCTGTTCATCCAGCTAGAGTAAACACAAAAGCAAAACCCCCTCAATTCTGCATCAAGACTATCAGTAATGTCTCCTTTCTTACTTTTGTCTCCAAATTCAGATGACAGGTGCATGGATTTCCATGTGAGAGGAAGAAAAGCACAGCTGTGTTGTTAAAGGTCTTTGGATGTTTTTGTTTTGTTTTTTAATTTGGGCTGGGGGATAGAGATGGTGTAAAGATCTTCCTCAGATTGCTACCTTCCAGCCTGTCTAGGGAACCAACCAGTACTCCCAGCGAGCATTTAACAAACAGCAGAGCAGAACTACCAGCAGAGGGCTTGGTTCGCATGACATCTGCTTAACCACAGCTGTACATGACTACACAAAAGACGTACCGAATCAGAATCACTCACGTACTGTGAAGCTTATTCTTCAAAAAAAAAAAAAAAAAAAAGCTCCCCAACTCAGGCAATGCTATACAGAAAAATTACAAATTAGTGCATAGTAGTGGATTACTAAGACACAGTCCAATTCTGAATACTTTAAAAGTATTCACCTCTCAGAACAACAAGGACTACGGCACTACAGCATGGTAATTTTTACACTGAGGAAGACGTAAAGGCAGATGGAATGTCTTCTACAGCCTATAGCTTTACTTACAGATGTAGCTGACCTAGACAAACATAATCCTAAACTGTAAGACAGAAAAAGAAAAATAAAGAAGAGAGTTAGGACACTTTTAATCTTCCTACCGTCTGAAGGCAGATCCCCTCAAGAAGGCAGGGGACACTGCTGCAACTGCAACAAAGGCGTAGATATCATGGTATGCCATTTCCCTCCTACACTCTTTTGTTAATAACCATCCTCTCAACTCTACATCTCTGGAGACTAACGCTCCTGCAAAGCATCACCATATCTATGAGATTAGCAACTGCAACAGCACCACCAAATTCCCTCTGTCGTCTCTCTACAGCAGAGTAAGATAACACACACCAATTGGGTGAGCAACACATTGATCACCCTGGCTATCTGCAGCCAGGGATATATGAAGACAAGATCCCACACTCCAAATTCAAAATGATAGACCAAGATCAGCAGCATGCAATTCATCCACTTGAGTACTGCAGCATCATGCAGGTGTGTTTCTACACAGTTTCAAGAACAATCCCTTTCTTTTCTACTAAGAGAGCCACCGATGGAATGACCACATGAAGCTGGAGGTGGTTAGACACCTATCCTACCAAGACAGGAAGACAAACCCTTGTCAAAAGGTACCCCTTCTGTACGTGTATGTGCTGTGCATCTTCCTCCAACTGTGCTTTTCTGTGAGAACAGAATGAGTAGAAGAGTTAGACATATGAAGCTTGTAAACAAAACTAAGGGAAAAAAAATCTTTTCTATAATTGGCACTAGCATCAATGTTACTGTAACACTGCTTCACAACATTTATTTACCTTTTAAAAGAAAAAAAGAATAGCACAAACTTAAGCTGCAAGATGAAATGGCTACATTCAAAGCAATTCAGTTCAAATCACCACACTGCTACTGAACACATTTTTCGGTTGGTCTTAACACAAAATAACTGCCAACCTTGATGCACTGGGTCAAGCAGCAGTGGCTTAAGAACAGATCTTCACACAGTGCAAATTTTATGTAATGGTTTGTACCAGCTACCCTGATAAGTCTTTGACATATACGCTGTACAAGTTCAGTTAGTACAAAAGGCACAGCTAAAGAGCGAGCATCATTTTTCAAGTTCTTTAGAGTCAGAGAAATATCTTCTTTAATGCATAGTATTATTCAACACT